AACCAAAGAAAATAACTGGACAAGTGAGCACAGATGTATACAAGGGTGTCTACTTTAGCATTGATTATAACATGAACACAATTTCAAGAGACGTAAGTACCCAAGGGTAGGAGATAATAACGAGTGAGTGAGTCGTGCAGGGGCACCCTCGTGCGTGCAGTGCTGTATATGCAGCCAGAAAGGATGCTGGTGCCGATGGTTATGCAAATGGCCCACCTACATTAAGTGGCGAAAGGTTACACACAGAAAGTATGATAAGTCAATCCCGTTTTCATTGGAAAGAAATCTATATGCACAGCTAAAGTCTGGAAGGTTATGCACTGAAATGCTAGCAGTAGTTAACAGAATTAAGGGTGCTTTTCTTTCCTCTGTTCCTACACGAGGAATATTTGTGGTAGGATAAAAAGTATGTAAACAGGCACAGCACTTTCTGCAGAGCCTGGGGCGGGGAACCCAGCCGCCCGAGCCCCGGGCCCCGGTTCCGGCAGCACAGGGACCGGCCGTGGCCTTAACCCCAAGGCGGCCCCGCTCCCGTTCTCGGCAATAAATTTGGCCTCGTTTTGTAAAAAAAAAAAAAAAAAAAAAAAAAAAAGTATGTAAACAGCATAGAGTATTTCACAGCTGGAAAGGAACTAGATTATTACGAGGCTCATGCCCGCCCACAGGTTGCAGTGGGCAGGGCTGGGTGATCCGCTCCCCACCCCCCCCATGAGTGTTCTAGAAGAGATTCACTCATCTTCTATGTCATAATGTCTGTGCTTCGCCTGCAGACTGTCGAGTGTGAGGAAGGAAGCGAAGATGACGAGTCTCTCCGAGAAATGGTGGAGCTGGCTGCACAGAGACTGTACGAGGCCCTCACGCCGGTGCACTGAGCCCGCCGGCCTGGATGTGCTGGAACGTTCCTGTGATGCGCACGTTTACTTCTGTCACTTAAAGGAAACACATTCCTTTGTCGGGGCAGCCTGTTTACTTTGGACGTCAAACGGCTTTTATTCCGGTAGTTAGCATACCATAAAGCACCAACAAATCTGTTCATTACTTTGGAACTGCTGAATAAACCGTTTAGAATTCACTGACTCCACGTCTCGGCACGGATGCAGCTCCCAGTAAACTTTAAAAATCTGCTCACAGCGCCCTAGCCAGGCGGCTCCGATTCCCGCTGTTTGGAGCAACGTCCTGTGCACCCAAACGCTGCGGCTCCATCCCCGTCAGGGCACATCCCCAGGCTGCAGGTTCATCCCGTCAGCATGACCGATATTCTCTCCCTTCCTCTCTATCTAAAATCAATAAACACGTCCTCAGGTGAGGATTGTTCATTAAATCTTCATAGCAACTGAATCAGAATGTCTCACATTTTAAGAAAATACACAATAACTTTTATTTTCGTATTTATTTTGTGAATTGGAGTTCATTTCTCGAGATTATCACTTAAAAGTTTTGAGCCCTTTTCTACCTCTCCCCTCCTGACCCTCTTGCCAGGTTCCTTAGTGTCCACATGACAGCTTTTGGGGTTCAGTGATATTTCCTTTGTTTAATAGCCACATATTCCGTTTCAGAGGTGGGAAGATTACACTCGTTATGTCTGTAGTTTCAGGGCACTCGGGGGACAGGTGAAGTGTTTCCTATGTAAATGGTGCAGTTTCCTGAGGTAGCGGAGTTCAGACTGCAAATGGCACAGGCCATCTGGTGCTGCTGCTGAGGGAGAGGGCAGCCCGGCCGGCCGGGGTAACGGCACCCGTCGATGCAAAGGGTTTGTTCCCTCTGCAGAGGGACAGGCTGTGCGTGCGTCGCTCCTCACAGCCTAACCCGAGGTGCTCGCACTCAGTCCAGCTACAGACACCAGCCATCCAGCCACTGCATCCCGTCAGCACTGTTTAGGTCTTGGTGACTTACAAACCTGTAACCATTGACGATGCATTTCCTGCGCTTGGGTGACACGCTTCACTGTGTAAATCTTTTTATGTGAAATACATTTATTTCTGTAAGTAGCCAACTTACTTTGTCTTTGGCCCAAACCATAGGTCTAAGGGTCATATGAGATTTTCTGAAATTATAGTTAGCCCCAGCTGGTTTTGCTCAGTGGATAGAGCGTCAGCCTGCGGACTGAAGGGTTCTGGGTTCAATTCCAGTCAGGGGCGTGTGCCTAGGGTGCGGGCTGAGTCTCCAGTAGGATGTGCAGGAGCCAGCGGATCTATGAGTCTCATCATTGATGGTTTTTTTAATATATTTTACTGATTTTTTACAGAGAGGAAGGGAGAAGCATAGAGAATTAGAAACATTGATGAGAGAGAAATGATCAGCTGCCTCTTGCACACCCCCTACTGGGAATGTGCCCGCAACCAAGGTGCATGCCCTTGACCAGAATCGAACCTGGGACCCTTCAGTCCGCAGGCTGACGCTCTATCCACTGAGCCAAACCGGTTTAGGGCTCATTGATGTTTCTCTCTCTCCCTCTTCCTCTCAAATTAATAAAAATCTGTTTTTAAAAATTATAATTTAAAAAAATGATGTTTAAAAAAATTGATTTTAAAGGGAGAGAAAAATATCGATCAGTTGCCTCCTGTATGCACCCTGACTGGGGATCAAACCCAAAACCTGGATATGTACTAGTCCTTGACTGGGGATCGAACTGGTGACTCGGTGCATGGGACCGTGCTCAGCCAACTGAGCCACACTGGCCAGGCTATTATGATTTTTAAGCTACAAAACATACACGTGTAATATCTGACTGATACATACAGCAAGCAGTGAGTGTGCTTTCCGGGCCCCTTCTCCAGGGCGGCTCCTTAGTCCAACTCACTGTCTTCCCACCGCTTCCTGCTACCGCCTGGCCGCTCCCCTGTGCAGGCTGAGCTCAGACCGTGGGCCCGGCCACCCTTTTGCTGCAGGAGGGTCTTGCCTTCCATGTGGAACGGCACATCGGTGGGCTCCATAGAGCAAGCCCAGCAGCGGCTGTTTCTAAGATGCAGCCCCCCTGACCCTCAGGCTTCACTGACGAGGATGCAGTCCAAGCGCCTGGGCTGGCGGGCCCGCAGCCCAGGAGGCACACGGGAGCGCGGAGCACACCGATGCCCACGGTCAGCGTGGAAAGCGGGCGGTTGGCAGTGCGGGTCCTCAGCAGCCGCGTCTGGAGGCTCCCCGGTGACTCCGGTTGAAGCCCAGGAGCTACCAGCCTCCAGACTGGGGCGCGCTGTCACCCCACCTGCCCTCCAGCTCCAGCCGGTCTCCTGCCGGGCGCCCCGTCCAGGCCACGCCCGCTCCCCAGCCCCGGCCTCCACCGGACAGCCTGCTCCTCTGGCCTCGGGCTTCACCCCGCGGTTGAGGGGCAAGCGCTCCTCTGAGGCCCTCAGACAAGGCCCCGCCCCGGGGCTCTCCCTGGCCCCCTCGGTCTGACCACACCCCCGCCCCATATCTTACCACGGGCGACTCCAACAAGACTCCCTGCCTTCCGAGTTCTGCAGCCCCCCTGCTCCTCGGCACCCCGCTCTGCTGTGTATTCCGAGTTGAGCCCAGTCCTCCGAGTCCGCTGCCCCAGCGGCCAGCAGGGGTCCTGAGTAAGTCACCGTGGTTAATCCTCACCGGGATGTGTTGATTCTGAGTGTGTGTGTGTGTGTGTGTGTGTGTGAGTGTGTGTGTGAGTGTGTGTGTGTGGGGGGGGGGGACAGACATGGGTGAGACACATGATGAGCTGCCTCCCGACGTCACGGGGTCACGGCTGCAGCCGAGAGTGGGCTCTTGACCAGCATCAAACCCAGGATCCTTGAGTCCCTGGGCGCTAACCACTGAGCCCGCCAGGGCTGGAGGAGCGGCTTCCCAGCAGGTCAGCACCTCCGGGAAACGGGCTGTGCCAGTGAGTCCTTGGTGACGCCGCCGGTGGCCCCGCAGCCCGGAACCAGTCGGGACAGGAGCTGACGGAAGGAAAACCCAGTTTCTTCAAGACCAGAGACCATCCCAGCCTCTCAGAGCAGCAGGGGGCGGGAGGCAGGGCGGGGCCGGGGCGGGGCCGGGTGCGAGGCAGCGCGGCTGCTCCCAAAGCCCTCGCCCGCGGGTCGGCGGTCTGGTTCCAGTCGGTCCAGGTGGGTCCGAGTGAGCACACCTGCGGGAGCCAAAATGCCTGAAGGCCGGAGTCCCCTCCTCTGAGGTTAGCAGACAGCCGTGGGCAAACTACGGCCCGCGGGCCGGATGTGGCCCATTTGAAATGAATAAAACTAAAAAAAAAAAAAAAAAGACCGTACCCTTTTATGTAGTGATGTTTACTGTGAATTTATATTAGTTCACACAAACACTCCATCCATGCTTTTGTTCCGGCCCTCCGGTCCAGTTTAAGAACCCGTTGTGGCCCTCGAGTCAAAAAGTTTGCCCACCCCTGGTAGCTCCTAGGGCCCTTCAACGCACAGACGGGCCACCATTTACAGAAACGACGCTAGGAGCGCGGCGGGCGGGCTCCCGGGAGTCCCTCCGGCCGCCGGCCGTCTCGCTCATCGCCGTTTGCTGCAACATTCCAACCGGCGTCGGACGGCGGCGCCACCCCCTCTGCTGTCGGAGCTGGCTTCCAGTTGGGGAGCTAATGGGGGCCCGGTCAGAGGGCGGGCAGGGGGCTCCCCGAGGGCAGCGGCGGCCGCACTGAACCTCTCAGGCAGAACTAACGACAGCGCGCCCCGCCCCCGCCGCGCGCCCCGCCCCCTCCGGATATCCGCCCTAGCTCCGCCCATCCCTCCGCGCCCCGCCCGGATATCCGCCCTGCTCCGCCCATCCCTCCGCGCCCCGCCCGGATATCCGCCCTGCTCCGCCCCTAGCCCCGCCCCCCGCTCGCCCCGCCCGGATATCCGCCCTGCGGGCGCTGTCCGCTGCCAGGCATGTCGCTGTGCGAGGGCTTGGGCTGCGGGAGCTCTCTGCTCTGGCCTCGGGTGTTGCTCTTCGGAGACTCCATCACCCAGGTACCGCCGCCCGGCCCGGCCCGCCTGCAGGCCCCGGCCCGGCCCTCAGAGGGCGGTGTCTCGGCGACGTCCCCTCGGAGAGCCGCGGGCGTGGCCTCCTCAGCCCCCGCGTCCAGGTCCTGGCCCTGGGGACGCGGCGTGGCCCGCAGCCGGCGCGCTGGCTCCTCAGGTCGCAGGTGCCGGAGCCGAGGGCCCGCTCCCTGCTCTGTCCGGGGGTTTGGGGGAGCGAGGCGCGTCGTCTCGGTATCTTCCTGGCGGCGGCGGTTCTTCCACCGCACGAGCTGGCGCGCTCCCGCCCCGTCGGCGCCCGGTGTCCGCGAGGCCCGGCGCAGCCCGTGTGGGGCGGGGAACGCGGAGCCGCCTCTCTGCGTCCGCGGGCGGAACAGGCTGAGCCCGAATGACTTGCCTCCGAGAGCAAAGCTCATCTGTTCTCACCCGCCATCACTTCAGCTCACGCTTCAGGGCGGAGCGCGCGTTACGAGTTCCCTTGCCGCTCGCAGACAGGCCTCCCTGCGGTGTTCTGCGTCTGTGCCGGGCGGGGGCCGCTGGGGCATCGGGGCAGGAGGGCTTCCGGGCCCGTGGGGATGCCTCCCCGACGTTCACCCTGCGTTCCGTAAGGAGTCGCCCTGGCTTCTTGCAACGGGGGGAAGGGAGGGCAGCGAGGCTTCACTGCCTAACTCAGCACACAGGTGCATGTACCGACTGTACCAAGTTCCTAAGCAGCTTTTCTAGATGAGTGACTGGTAGCAGGTTTCAGCGAAGCGTAGGGCTGGCCCGTCCCGCTGAGGGGGCAGGGCGCTGCCGGGCGGGCTGCGGGGGTCCCTCCCTGACCCGGAGCAGAGCGGGGCGAGGGCCAGCCCGGCGCGGGGTGCCCGGCGGCCACCATGGCCTCGGACGGGACCAGGACTAATGGGCTGCTCTTTCTCCAGTTTTCTTTCCAACAGGGTGGATGGGGCGCGTCCCTGGCTGACAAGCTGGTCAGGTGAGCAGTTTTCATGTTTAGTTTATGGGTTGATTTTAGAGAGAAGCATCGGTTTGTTCCACTTACTTACAAGGCCAGTGGCTGGTTCTGGTTTGCGCCCTGACCTGGGAGGAACCCACAGCCTGGGTGACTGGGCTGCACTCTGACCGCGGAGCTGCCGGGGCCGGCGCCTGGGGCTGATGGCGGGCACGGGTGCATCTCAGAAGAGAGAGGGACGGTGCCCTGTCCACCCTCCATCCTCGCTGGCCTGGCCTGGGAGGCGGGTCCTCGGGGTTCAGGGAAAGAAGTTGCCACCATGTGACCGCAGACCCTGTTGTGAAAAACACATGAAGGGTTAGGGTCCGAAAGAGCACAGCTGCTCCCCACGTAGAGGCGACAGGTTCTTCCGGGCACCTGGTGGGCGGGAGTCAGTGATTAGTGAGCTCAGTTGGGAGAACGCAGAGTGGATTCTTAACACAAACTTTCGATAGAGGGTTTTTTCCTCCAAAATTCTCTTTATATCAGAAATAGTGATGATGGTGGTATTTGAGGTGTATGCCGAGGAATTCATGAACAGGGAAACTGTCCCAATTCGAGAGGTGAAAGCAGCCCGGCTGGTGTGGTTCAGCGGGTGGAACCCGCTTCCGGTCAGGGCACAGGCCGGGGTTCAGGGCTTGACCCCCAGTAGGGGGCGTGCAGGAGGCAGCCTCTGGATGATGTTTCTCTCCCATCAATGTTTCTATCTATCCCTCTCCCTTCCTCTTTCTAAAAAAAAAATATATATATATTTAAAAATTGGTTAAGGAAAAGTACAAAAATTTTCAAAAGAGGTTAAAATAAATATTTAGAAATATTTTCCAGAGTAAAAACAGTAGACACAACCCGAGCCGGTGTGGCTCAGTGGATAGAGCGTCGGCCTGCGGACAGAAGGGTCCCGGGTTCGATTCCAGTCAAGGGCACATGCCTGGGTTGCGGGCTGGGTCCAACGTGCAGGAGGCAGCCAATCAATGATTCCCTCTCATCGATGTTTCTACCTCTCTCTTCCTCTCTGAAATCAATAAAAATATATTTTAAAAATAAAATAAAAACAGTAGACACAAGTATCTGTGTTTGGGGTATCAGTAAACTGATCAGCAGGAATATTGCCTTTTCCTCCTTTAGAAGAAATATGCTTATATTACTTGATACTTGATAATCTTCTTCATCAATATAACACACCAAGAAAATATATTTTATTTCTGAATGTGAAATGTTTTACAAAGTCTTCACTCTCTCCTCTATATTTATCCCCTAAACTAGAAAATGAAAAATTGACCCTGCGTTTTCTAGTCCTAAATGCTTGCTTTATTTAAGTGGACTTAATCTAAAAACATGAAGATACCCTTTCATCCCTCTGTTTTCTCCTGTGAAATCTGGGGCGGGGTGAAACAGCTGCCTCCTGCTGAAGCCGCCAGCCTGCAATCCCCCCACAGCACGGAGGGGTTTATGCTCCCACCCATGTCCAGCTGAGAACACTATAAGCAACGAGGCCACACAGCGGAGACGGGCAGGGCGGGGCTGCAGGGCTGATGCCGGAGCGGGAGCCGGGGAGGTAACGGGCGCTTGCTCGGGGGCTGGGCGGAGGCAGCTCACCTGAGCTCGCGGAGCCAGGGCCGCCTGGAGCAGAGCAGGTGCGTTTCCCCCGCTGAGCCGGCAGCCCTGGACCTGCTCCGTTAACCTTTTCTGAACAAATAGAAGATGTTGAGAAACTAATTATTCAAATGGCCTGAGAAGCTCCAGGAACTGTAAATGCAGTGGTTCTCCTTGGCTGCACATTAGGATCACCTGGGAATCTTTTCAAAATCCTGATTTCTGGGCCTCACCCTCCGGAAATTCTGTTTCTTTGTTATGGTGGGGCCACAACATTAGTAACAAAGAAACAATTTCCAGAGGATGATGCCCAGAAATCAGGATTTTAAAAAGATTCCTGGTGATTCTAATGTGCAGCCCAGGTTGGGAACCACTGTTTAAATGTTTCACCACATGTTTTGTAAATAGTTAATTTTAGCACTAAAATCTCAATTGATAGTTTACAGGTGTGAGTGTTAGAAGACCACTTAATTAGACGCTTGTTATTTTTCGGAACTGAGAGTCATCACAAGAAGAGACCAGCTTCTTAGAGACTTTCCGCCTGTGCCGCTTGCTCAGGTTAATACCTGTCTGCTGTCAGCTCCGTTTAGAAGCGCCCTGTGCCGTGCATGAAACCAGCGGTCTGCAGACTGACGCAGCCCCGCGCACTGAGGGGTGACCACTCACAGCCTCTGCGATGGCACGACGAAGGCCAGCGCCCTGTGCCGTGCATGAAACCAGCGGCCTGCAGACTGACGCAGCCCCGCGCACTGAGGGGTGACCACTCACAGCCTCTGCGATGGCACGACGAAGGCCAGCGCCCTGTGCCGTGCATGAAACCAGCGGCCTGCAGACTGACGCAGCCCCTCGAGGCAGTTACCCATCACTGGCACTGAGGTGTGACCACTCACAGCCTCTGCGATGGCACGACGAAGGCCAGCGCTCTTGCTGTTGCTCACGTGTGCTGTTGCTCACGTCAGAGAGGACCGAGGGCAGGCCGAGCAGGCCCCGCCAGCCTGGAGCGCTCGCTCACCCGCCCTCGCAGCCGGTTGGTTATGGGACTGAAACAGCCTTGTCTGAAATTCATCTTTAACGTTTTTTTCATTTTTCATTTCAGAAAATGTGATGTTCTGAACCGTGGATTTTCAGGCTATAACACCAGATGGGCCAAAATCATCCTCCCCAGGCTCCTCAGGAAAGGGAGCGTTTTGGACAGCCCGGTCGCCATTACAATTTTCTTTGGTGCCAATGACAGCGCGTTAAAAGGTAAAGGCGTTTTGGTACTTTCCCAGTTCATATTTCATGTTACAGCAAACGTACATGTGTGCTCTGGTTCCTGACCTCCTGAGGGGACGTTTTGTCCAAAGTGTAACGAGTTTCCTGCGTACGTAGGTGTTTCTTCTGCCGTCAGTGTCGGCGACTTTCTCCCCGACCTGTTTTCAGACCCGTGTCGTCTAGCCTCGTGCTGCTGGACTCAGCGCCTGGTTCTTTTCTCTTAGTTGCCGTCGCTGGCAGCAGGGGCCTCAGGTGGGCACCTGCGTCTTAGTGACGGAAAGAGGAGCTCAGGGCCGCCCAGACGCTGGCGCAGCCTGGAACCTGAGTGATGGCTCCGGGCGAGGAGAACCCCGTGTGGCAGGAGGAGGGATGTAGGCCTGGACTTGGGGAAGCTGGGTGTCACCCCCAGAGGTTTTTCCAGGGCCCACTCCTCCCCCAGCAGTGGCCTGGCCTGCTGCTCACAGACCCTTATGGGGGCCTCTGGGTGAGGCTGCAGATGGGGGAGGAGGGCTGCCAGGGGGCGGCTTCAGCGGCCTGGGAGGAAGGGTACATAAGTTACAGGTGGCAGTAGGGACCGCAGGCCAACTATTGGGAAAAGTGAAGTTCTGTCTTCACTTAACATCTACACCAGAAGAAAAACAAAACTCCAAAACCAGAAATTTTTTAAAATATATTTTATTGATTTTTTTTTACTGAGAGGAAGAGAGAGGGATAGAGAGCTAGAGAAACATTGATCAGCTGCCTCCTGCACACCCTCCACTGGGGATGTGCCCGCAACCAAGATACATGCCCTTGACCGGAATCGAACCTGGGATCCTTCAGTCCGCAGGCCGACGCTCTATCCACTGAGCTAAACCGGTCATGGCCAAAACCAGAATTTTTAAAAAATGGTGAAGTTTATCAAACTTAGGGCAGGAATAAACATTAAGCATAAAAACAATGAAGGAAATTGCAAAGGAAGAAAATAAGTTTGTGAAATAAAATAGTTTATCAAACTATTTAAAAAGAATAAAATGACACAGTAAGGAAAACATTTGCAAAAATAGGCAGATAAAAGTTAATGTCCTTAATGAATAAGTCAAGAAAAGCATTAACTCCAATAGAGAAATGGGCAATGCAGGAATAGATAATTCACAAAGGAGGAATTTAATAGCCAATACATGTTTGAAATGTATGAAAACTTAAGTTATCCAAAAAATGCAAGTTACAAAGAATTTTGTGGGTTTATTTTATTTTGTTTTTTTTTTTTAATTCTTTATTGTTTAAAGTATTACATGTCTCCTTTTCCCCCCATTGACCTCTCCCTGGCCGTCCCCACCTTCTAGCACATGCCCTCACCCCCCTACTGTCTGTGTCCAATGGTTGTGCTCATATGCATGCATACAAGTCCTTTGGTTGATCTCTTACCCCCTCATCTCCCTCCCCCACCTTCCTTCATAGGTTGGACAGTCTGTTCCATGCTTCTATGACTCTGGTTCTATTTTTATTCATAAGTTTATGTTGTACATTATATTCCACACTAGAGGCCCAGTGCATGAAATTCGTGCACGGGAAGGGGGGGTCCTGCAGCCCGACCTGCATCCTCTCCAATCCGGGACCCCTCAGGGGATGTCTGACTGCCGGTTTCTGGCAGTCGGACATCCCTCTCACGATCCAGGACTGCTGGCTCCTAACTGCTCACCTGCCTGCCAGCCTGCCTGATCTCCCCTAACTGCCTCTGTCTGCTGGCATGATCGCCCCCTAACTGCCCCCCTGCCGGCTTGGTCGCCCCTAACTGCTCTCCCCTGCTGGCCTGATCACCCCTAACCGTCTCTGCCTCAGTCCTTGCCACCATGGCTTTGTCCGGAAGGACGTCTGGAAGATGTCTGGTCTAATTAGCATATTATTCTTTTATTAGTATAGATGAGTGAGATCATGTGATAGTTATCTTTCTCTGACTGGCTTATTTCACTTAGCATAATGCTCCATCCATGTTGTTGCAAATGGTAAGAATTCTTTCTTTTTTACCACAGCGTAGTATTCCATTGTGTAGATGTACCAGTTTTTAATCCACTCATCTGCTGATGGGCACTTAGGCTGTTTCCAGATCTTAGCTATGATAAATTGTGCTGCTGTGAACATAGGGGTGCATATATCCTTTCTGATTGGTGTTTCTGGTTTCTTGGGATATATTCCTAGAAGTGGGATCACTGGGTCAAATGGAAGTTCCATTTTTAGTTTTTTGAGGAAACGCCATACTGTCTTCCATAGTGGCTGCACCAGTCTGCATTCCCACCAGCAGAGCACGAGGGTTCCCTTCTCTCTGCATCCTCGCCAGCACTTGTCGTTTGTTGATTTGTTGATGGTAGCCATTCTGACAGGTACCAGATGGTACCGCATTGTCGTTTTGATTTGCATCTCTCGGATGGTTAGTGACTTTGACCATGTTTTCATATGTCTCTTGGCCTCTGTATGTCCTCTTTGGAGAAGTGTCTATTTAGGTCTAGAAATAATCCTTTGCAGCTGCATAGGGATGGCTGGTCCTTCACGCAGGAGCCTTGTCTGAGTGCTGTACACACTGGCGGGTTTGATTCTCACAGGCACCCTGTGAGGTAGACCCTGTTGTCCTCTTTTCACCAGTGAGGACACGGGTTCAGAAGGTGGAGCATTTGTGCAAGGGCACTGGCTGGTCAGGGACAAGGCCAGGAGAGGGGAGGGCAGCCTTCCCCCACACAGCCTCTTAGCCACAGGGCGCATGGAGGAAGGGCACTTCCGAGGCGCAGCAGAGCCCGGGAACCGCCTTTTGCACTGTGTGCTGGAGCCCTGCCGTCTCCGGCCGTGGTGCCCAACGACTCCCCAGTGACCTCGAGTGTGGGCGTTTGTGAACGGGCACTGACCTCAGCTGTCACTCACTCTGCTCTGAACAGATGAGAACCCCAAGCAGCACATCCCCCTGGAGGAATACGTGGCGAACCTGAGGAGCATGGTGCAGTACCTGAGGTCCGTGGACGTCCCCGAGGGCCGGATCGTGCTCATCACGCCGCCCCCGCTCTGCGAGGCCGCGTGGGAGAAGGAGTGCCTGGCGCAAGGTGACCACACCTGGGTGGGCCTGGAGACCTAGAGGGGTGGGGCTCCCGCCTGCGGCACGGCTCTCGGGGCCCTGCACATCCGCATGGTGTGTGTGCAGTCAGGCGACAGGAGCACAGCTCGCGTGGCCACACCCGAGAACCTCTGGCGTAGGAGTTGGAGTCTCACTTGTGCCGTGTTGGGCCGCTGGCCTGGCATTTGCTGCCTTGTCATTTCCCAACTCCCAAGGCGTCCGCAACCATGAGCTCTGTGCCGACGGCTGAGCGCATCCCAGAACAGACCGCGGTTCTGCCGTGGTGTGGTGCTGAGGCCAAGAGTCTCTATGTCTTGGACACGGGGTCACATTGGGGTCACGTTGGGGTGTTTTCCTGACTTCCAGCAGGTAAGACAGTTGAGGTCCCTCCCAACTCTTGCCTTCTCTGCTTGAAAGTCTACAAAGACTTCCCCACTGTTTTGCAGTAGCTTCTTAGGACAGGTACAAATTCGGGTCTCAGCACAGCACTCCTCACAGCGTGCCGCCGACCAGCCTCCAGCCTGGCCGCCCTGCCCTTCCCTCCGCGGGGCCTCTGCTCCCGTCAGGCCCTAGGGCCACGGGGCTCCTCCTCCTCCGCTGGGAGTCGCCTGCGGGGCCCGTCCTTGTCTTATTCTCGGCCCCCAGGCTGGTCCAAGTCTGGCCCCCAAGTCTGCGCCTGTTTATTGAACTGAGAAACCATCCAGGCCAGAACCTGCCCAGGACCAGTGCTGGAGTTTATCAGCTGTCACCTTTTCTCCAAAGGTTGCAAGTTAAATCGCCTGAACGTGGTGGTTGGTGAATACGCCAGCGCCTGCTTACAGGTGGCCCGAGACTGTGGGACTGACGTGCTCGACCTGTGGACCCTGATGCAGAAGGACGGTCAGGTAGGTGGCTTGCTCGGTCCTTTTGGGGCGAGTAGGACCACACAGGCGTGACTCAGCTGTGCGTGGCTCTGAGTAGGTGTCAGATTCAGCCAGAGCCCAGCCAGAGCTCTGAGTTGCTCTGAGCCCGTATGTCCTTCTAATTTCTTCCCGACTACGCCAGAGTCGGCTCCTGCTCGAACCCACTCACGCCCTCACTGTGGGGTCCGAGCCCCCTGCCTGGGGCTGGACCTTCTTGAACACCGGGTCTTAGACGGAGAAGCCATGGGAAGTTACGGGTGTATAAGGAGGAGTCTGGATTGTAGGAGCCAGTGGCCATAAGTCATCAGACAAAACAGCTCTTCACAGCCAAGCCCATACAGGCAGCCGGCCCCGGCTGGTGAATCCATCTCCTTCCCACAGGGTAGCGTTCACCTCTGCACCCACAGCTGTTGTCTGAGAGCCGCGCGCTGCCTAGACTGATAGCTTCACAGCACCAGTGCCTGAGCTCTCCCTTAGCGCCACAGCCTCAGCAGTTCTGCCCCCTGCCCAGCACCCTGGCTGGTCTCCGGCCTCACATAGGAACTGCCCCGAGCTTCTGAACTCCCTCTCGCAGCAGCAGCCTCACGTCCTCGCCTCGGCAGCACACTCGCTGCTCAGTGACACGTATCACACTTCTTAGACACAGGCCTCGTGCCAGTACTAACACCATATTTTGGGCCACAGAAGGGCACAGAGTACCATGTCCTGGCACCTGCTAAGGTATCTTAGCCTAGGCTCAGGGTGGCCTTGGCCGGCCCGGCATACTAACAAGGCCGTCCACACTCTGAGGGGCTGTCTGGTGACTTGAGTACGGTGGCCACAACAGGGAAGACAGTTGAGACTCTGGGACAGCGTGCGGTCAGCAGGAGCCCCGGTCACGGTCAGGGTGAGCACAGAGGGAAACCAGCGAGCAGGAAACGGCTCCCATTTAAGAACGGCCAGGCCACGTCCTTCTCTACATGGCACGGAGGAGTTAGAACACATCACCAGGCACAAGACGTATTTAAGTAGACTGTGCTATCAGCTACAATTTGTATTTTGAGATACGGAGTTCTAATAGTTTTGTTTTTAAGTCCAGAAAGCCCATTTATCAATATACAAGGTAAAAACCTGGTCCCCGGGCAGAATGGTACAGCCACTCCAGACGACAGTTTCCGTACAGTGAAACGTACTTACATGGGACCCAGCAGTCCTGCTCCTGGTGTTCACAGAGCGGACACTTGATTCCCGGGAGACCGGCCCCGAGCAGCAGCAGCTTCTGGTTAGGAAAGCAGTGCTGCTGGAGAAGGTGCTCTTACAGTCCTTTAGATGGAATGCTGAGAGCCTAGAACTGAGACGGTCGTCCAGAGAGGCCACCTGATCTGGAACAGCAGAGACTAGAAAACGAAGGCTCAGGAAGGCTCGGCCCAGTGGAGACTGCGTCTAATGGTCAGTGCTGCCGAGAGCAGGGCGTGGGGGACTGACCCCGGTGTTCCAGCATCGCTGTTCTAGTTCTTTCCTCCCAATAACTTGCCTGTCAACCTAACACTTAGACTGAGAGGCAAAAGTGCCCCTGGGCCTTCTCACCCCGTGCTCGTCAGTCAGCCTCTCTGAGCTGGGGGCCGGGAGGATGGCTCAGGTCTTCATGGTGTGAGGCTGTGGGAGCTCGATCTGTAATTGCCTATCATCTGCAAAGGGCCTGTGGTCCCTTGAGCCTGTGCGCGGAGCCTGGCGGTGCCACTGCAGTCCACGGAGAAACTAGCGCACACCTGTAACGGCCCCTCTCCCCTCACAGGACTTCTCACCCTACTTGTCAGATGGACTGCACTTATCACCAAAGGGAAACGAGTTCCTCTTCTCCCACCTCTGGCCTCTGATAGAGAAGAGAGTGTCTTCCCTGCCGCTGCTGCTCCCTTACTGGCGAGATGTGGCCGAAGCGAGACCAGAGCTCAGTCTTCTCGGAGACGGGGACCATTAGGCGCGGAGCACGAGGCTGGTAGGGACACGACGCCACCCTGTACCACGCCCTCTGGTCAGAGTTGTGTCTGCTCAGGCCTAAACCTTTGCTCATGACCCTGGACCGAAACCCTGACATTTGTACCAGGAAGAATAAACGCATTGTGCCTTCCCGGGAAGCGCTGCACTGAGTATGCTCTGATATTTAATATTATTGGTCGATGCAGGTGCCACCAGCACCACCACTACATGCACCCTGAGCAGCTAGGGAGTCTATAAGCGGAAAAAAGGGTAAAAGACAGTTTTTTTTTTTTTTTAAAGTTGATTTTATAAAAAATGGTTTTCTTACATTCAGCTGGGAACTGCTTCACTCTCACACATACACCCACTCACCTTACATCAGAGTCCAAAAGTGTAACTAAAATATAAGAGTATTGTGACTAGTTAAAAGAGCAAATACCACAAGGTACAAGTTCAAGTATTAGTGTAACAGGTATCTGTGTAACAAACATCCTTAGGAAAAAAGACACCATTTGTCACAGGTTTGGTTAATTGCCCTCAAAGTTTGTAAGTTACTCATTAAACATGTTGGCTGGTGAGCACAGTTCAGGACTTACAGGGGAGAAGCTTTTAACTCTAACTCTAAGGAAGTCAGAACTCCCCAATGACTTCTCCTTCACACAGCGAGCGCACACCGTCCGGAGTCCTGAGCAGGACGCAATGGGAACAGCCACGTGCAGGGCAGCACCACGGTGTCTGAGTCCCTCCCAGGGGCTGTCCCCCCGTGGCCATGCCGATGCTGGAGGAGGGCTCCTCATGCTGAGGGGCAGACAGGCCCCGCCTCGGCCGGGCTGGCCCCCAGTCAGTGCGGAGCAGCCCGAGCCGGCCCGGGACGCCGGCCCGGACAGCAGGACCCGACCACCCAGTGTGACATGGTGGAGCCGTCCTGGACTCCAAGGCCACAGCACAGCTCTGCAGAGTGAACAGGGCAGCGGACCAGCTCCAAATCTCACCGAGGCCACCCCCAAAAGGAGACTGTCACCTCCAGGAAGACAAGGTCCCTGCATTCAGCAATGCCAACAGGAGCCCAGCCCTGCTTCCCGATGCCAGGCCACCGGGCCCAGGTGAGGATGATGCCGCAGCCCCTCAGCACGTCCCAGGCACCCAGGGTGCTGACGGCTCAAGCTGTGAGGCATCTGAGAGGAGCCTCCCAGACTGCACCCCAACTCCACCAGCATCAACGCTGGCCCTCAGCAGGCCTCCAAGGTCCCCCAGATCAAACGCAACCTCTCCTATGGAGACAGCAGTGACCCTCCCTAGAGGCATGGCCACTCCCCGCACCCGAGCTCTGGCTCGAAATCTCCTCTGGCTCCTCAGCCAGAAGGGGTCGCTGCCACGAGGGCCACTGGTTCTTGGAAAAGCGGCCGGAAGGCTGGTGCTGCCAGATGGACACGGAGACCGAGAGAACTCTGAGGGAGCCTAGGGACGCTCAGTGCTGTGGGCGTGCCGGCTGCTGCCGTCCCAGAAGCGCCAACAGCGTTAGGTCCCGGAACACACTTGTAAAACAGAAAAACTGCCCAGCAAATGAGGGTCTCACACAGGGGGCAGGATTCTGTAATGCAACTAGCCCTACTTGGGGCTCTCGCTGTAAACTAGATTATTTAAACTGCAGAAAGTACTAACCTTAGAATTCTGAAGAAACAGTAACCCAAATCACTCCTGAATTGGGGTGTGTATTCTCCCTGCTGTAGGCGTGGGGTAGTGCCGAGAACCAGAACCCACACTGTGGCGATAGTACACAGCTCAGTTTTATCTTATCTTTACTTGAGGGCAGAAAAATAAATTATTCTGTGTTCCAGTTATCCTCACGAGTAATGCTAACTGCCTCATCTTCATGACACTGTATGAAAAAGAAAATCGTTCTCTCCCTAATCAGTGCTGTCATCGATATAAAGGTTACTTTACAAAAACGTAAATACTTATGACCTAATCCAGCTGTATTTTCTGCTTCTGCACCACAGGTTGAAGGATATTTTAAACACTAAAACCTGAAAGCCTCAAAATAAGCTAGATTCACCTTACCTGTTCACACAGAAAGGCCCAACCACACAAGCACATATGCCAAGAAGTCCAGACACGTGACCAGCACCTGCTGAAGTCACCGCCTTGTTTCTCCTAGATCTTCACGAAGTCTGCGAGTGATTTTAGGTCACACCTACAAAACACCTTGCACACAGGGCAGAGCGCAGGGCCTCCCTCCCTACACTAGCACTCGGTCTCTTTGCTGTCGACGCGGTTCTGCCGCTGCAGCTTGAAGGATGAGGCCTTCTCGCTCCTCGTGACCGGGTGGCCCGTGAGGTCCTCAAACGACTTGGCGGCCGTGCTGCTGCTCGGGAAGGGGTCCTTCTCGAAGCCGTCCTCGTCCATGTGCGAGTCCGTGCTCGGGTCTTCCTGGATGGTGTCCATGCGCTGGTGGTCCAGTTTCGGGGCCACAGGCACCATCGGCACCACAGGGGCGGACTGCAGGGGCTGCAGGCGGCCTGGGGTCTGCGGCCCCGGAAAGGGCTTGATGATGCGGACCGAGGCAGAGTCCATGCTGCTGAGCATTTCCACGTTCTGGAAAGACACGGGAGGAAGAGATGAGCGGCAGGTCTGCCGGCTCCAGCGCGTCCACCCAGCCTCACACGGTTGCTGCCACGACCCACACGCTGAGGAAAACTCTCAACTCAGAAATGACTCAGAAAGGCAGCTTGCAAGCGGCCTGCCCACTGACCATGTGAAGACCCAAAAGGAAACGTCTAACAACTCTCAAGTTCAGGTCTCACGACAAAAACAATCACAAAATAGTCACTGAGTTGGTGCTGAGCAGCTGAGTCACTCGGGCTGCTCCCCTTACATCCCCATCCATCGTCCTTACTGTGGGCACAGGACTTAACGAACCCCACCTCGGCCTTTCCTGCTGCAGCAGGACCTCCAGCAGCCACAGGGGGCGCAGCTGGGTGGCCGACGGAGGTCTCCCTGTGCCACTGAGAGGCCTTCTGTCGGGCAGCATACTCACACTGGGGTGAAACAGGGACAGGGACTCATACTGCTTATCCAGCTTCTTATCCTAGAAAGAAGAGAACAGGGAAAAGGTCACTCCCACAAACACAATTCACTTCAGTGCTCAGGCCTTAGCGCAGCGGTTCTCAACCTGTGGGTCACGACCCCTTTGGCAGCCAAACGACCTTTTCACAGGGGTCGCCTAAGACCATCCTGCATATCAGATATTTACATGACGATTCATAACAGTAGCAACATGACAGTGATGAAATAGCAACGAAAATAATGTTATGGCTGGGTCACATGAGGAACTGTATTTAAAGGGCCAGAAGGTTGGGAACCACTGCCTTAGAGAACCTCCTAATACTGAGTGAAGCACTTAGAACCTGAGCTGTAGAAAGTGGTAGCAGGTCCGATGCATGAGAATGAGTGTCGCCCGTAAACCTGAGGAGCTCTGCCACCACCTACGGGTGCCTCTGCGCTCGCAGGAGCCTGTTCCTTTTGGTGTGAAGTAAGACAGGTTCCAGTGCTGTACCTCTGGGCATTTCCCACCGGGGGCAGGAGGACAGAGGCGTCTGCCCATGTGTCCAGGCCCTGCCTGTGCCTGGGCAGAGCCGGCCCTGGCGCCGCTGGTGGGAGGCTGAGGGGCTGCGCCTGTGCTCTCATTGGCTCTGGCCTCACACGGCCCAGCCCACCACGGCCTTGATATTCTTCCCAGCTGTTCCCAGAGTTCCTGTGGCCCAGATTTGTGAAGGAACTGGGTCTCTGACCTGCATCGTGCTTCAGAAGGCTGCACACATGGTTCCATCCACTGCCCAGGACCCTGCCTGTGGCTGGCATCGCATGACAATGGGCACCAGGCAGGAGGCTGGGACCTGGAATCTAGGCCTGGCTCCTAGTTCAGCTGTCCTGAGTGGGTCTGTGGTCAGAAACAAGCCAGCACCCTCCCTCCTGCGGCAGCTTTGCTCAGAACAAGAATCGGGCCTCACGGAGGGTCCACAGGTGTAACTCACTGCATAGTAAACAGCACGAGAGCTACTGGCTGTGCTGAGGCTTCCCAGGCTCACCTGGGGGCAGCACAAGTGGAGCCTCGGCCTGCCCATCGTGAAGGAGACAAGCCCTCGCCTTCACAGGGAAGCAAGGAACAATCTGGAGTTCCTCGGACAAAGCCCCATTCGACCTGCCGGCTGTCACTCATTTTGAACGAGAATAAACAGACTGCTCCTGCTCTGTGTCTGGAAGGGTTTAAACACCCACATGGTGATGCCAAGGACCTGATGGCACAGGGCACCATCTTGGGATGCGGGTGTTTGCTGTTTGCTCTGTGACAACAAAGCCTGCAAATACTTATGTTGAGACACTTCACTCATCTGAGGTCCTAGGCAAATCCAGCTCACCAGTACCCTGTGGCCCTGGCCAGTTTCCTCAGTGGATAGGGTGTCGGCCTGTGGACTGAAGGGTCTGGGGTTCAATTTCGGTCAAAGGCACGTAGCTGGGTTGCAGGCTCGATCCCCGGCCCTGGTCAGGGCCCGTGCGGGAGGCAACCAATCGATGTGTCTCTCTCACATCAGTGTTTCTGTCTCTCTTCCCTTCCACTCTATTTAAAAAAAAAAAATCAATGGAAAAATACCCTCTGGTGAGGATAACAAAAAAATAAAAATAAACGAACAGTCTCCTGTGCTCAGAAGTATAAAATTCCTCAGAAATTCTACACAAGAATGAAACATCTACACACAAAAAGTAAGATTCTTTTAAGGCCTATTAGCTAAGCTCTTCACAAGATATGCTGTCCTCGGGCTAATACTGAAATATGTCATTGGAAACAGTAGGTCAGACTTTTAAGGACAGATTTTATCTTGTCCACAGATCCTATGGCTGGAGTTGTTCAACCTTTTAAGAGAAGATTTCACTACTTACAAATGGTGACTTACCACACAATGGACAAGAATGCTGAAAGGAATCCAAAAGATCAAGGAGAAAACCAGGACGGAGCCCACGATGTTGTCTGCTAAGAACTTCCCTGTGAACAGTTTCAGACAGTGACTGACTGGACCCACGGACTGCACAGTCTCCAAGGAAATGCTCCGAGCATCATCGCTGTGACGAACGCCACGGCTGCTGCCTACACTCTCCTGACTGTAGCGCCGCGAGTGTCTGTGCACCTGGGAGACCTGCCCCCCTCCCCCCGCCGCCTCAGAAACAGCCCTGAGACAGAGGTCAGTGCAGCTGATGGATGAAGTCCCAAAATCGCTCAATGACTCCTGTACTCGTTCCCGGAGCCACTGCACAGAGGCTGCTGGGAACAATGCTTATGAAGACAGTGTTGTTGCTCTCTGGGCATTTCTGTGACTAAACTCTAAATTACGGGCCCTAGAGGACATAATACATGCCCTGCTTCTGCAAAATCTGAGGCCGTTTGTAAAATGAATCCATCAGGTAATTTCAGATTTCCAGTCTGTAGGACAGGCCGACTCTTGTGAGTGCATTTTATTTAGCAGAGAAGGAAGCTGATGCTTTGACTAAGCACCGATTCCCTCGTCTGAAAACTGCATCCAACCCACCAGGGGAGGCCTAGCATCCCATGAGGCCGCAGACGGAACTAATGCAGGGACTGTTCCCTCTGCTGCTGCAGGACCAGAGTCTCCACTCTCCACTATCACCGCAGACATGAGCTCGGTTCTAAGCAGACAAGCACCTGGGGGTCACCTACCGAAAGTATTGATGCTCAGCTGATCGATGAAGTCCCAAAATCGCTCGATGACATCCTGTACTCGTTTCTCGCATTTGCCCTATGAACAGAAAACAGCATTTTTCCTAAAAGAAACGCACTTAGAAGCAATGTGGCTTTCTGCAAACAGCTAACGCACCTGGCTCACCTTCGATATGGGCAATAGTTTAAGTGTGATGAGCCCTAAGAAAGGAGGGGGTGCTATCACTGAGGCCTCACCACCAGGCCGTTTCTATACGTGAACTTGGGGTTCCCAAGAGACGGACTCAGAAACCCAGGGTGTAAAAGATGTGAGTCCCAGGAAGGGTGGCACTGAGCACTCCAGGGACACAGCCAGAGGCCTGGGAAGCCTCTGGACACTAACCCTCCACCATGTTTTACACAAATAAGAGACCAAAGGGTCTGATTTGGGTGAATCAAGCTGCTTCTAGATCTTTCCTACTTACAAATGGTGACTTACCTATATTTTTGCAATCTTAGTCAATTTCGTAATTAACAGAAAACCAAATGATCAGGACCCACCGCCCCACAGCCACCCACTTTGCCCAAACTCCCAAGGTCCTGGCCAGTCGCTGGACTCGGAGCCCCCTGCTCTGGAGAGAGCGCCGTTTCCCAAGGGCGCCCGGCTGTGCGCATAGGCGGTGCCCACGCTGACCTCACCAGACGGACTCGCACAGGAATGAGCGCTGGGTGAGGAGAGGGCAGCCCTGGTTTGTTTCCTTCCATTTGCAAAATTGAGGACAACGTGAAAACATTTCCCACCTGGCTGGACAGAAAAAGCTGTACATAAATGTACTCACATTCATGTCACAGAACCCTACTGTACAGGGCTTCCCTTTCCTCAAAAACAAGTTCTTCTGCTCGGAGTCAACATAGGGCACACACCGGCCCTGGGCGTCCCGGCAACACACCTTGCACGAGTTGTCCGTCTCTGAAACCAAGGGGCACACAGCTGAGTTTTCCTGGACACGTGGCTCTCCTTGCTTCCCTTCCCGCCTAAAGACCTGACTCCACTGTGTGGATGCTGAGTTCCCAACCCAGGGGTTGTGATTTCTGGGCTCTTTGTTTTGAAATCAACAGAATTCTGGGCTGGGGCAGGAAGCTCAGAGCCCAGTCCACCCGAGATCCCCCCTCAGACCCAGGGGCTCCAAAAATAATGCGAAAATCTGAGGACAAGTGTCTGAGAGACCAGCATGATGTTGCCAACCATCACTAAGGAGGCCCCTGGCCTGGCCCACCACCGGTGGCGAGCGTCCTCCTCAATGGGCCAGTCCTGGAATCGGCGCTCTCCGGTGAAGTGTGGAAGGAGCACCACAGCTCAATGCCCACGGCACCAGCTCCTGCTGCCTTCATGCGTGTCTGATACCCAGCCCCACCCCTGTCACCCACAGAATCCCCTCCTACTCGCCCCACACTGGCCACATGATCTGAAAACGTGGCAAGAAGGGAGGCCAATGGGCTGGTTTTCAGACAGTGGAGCCAGGATCTGAATCCAGAGGGCTGTCTCCACACGCCACCTGCACGCCCCTGACGGCGCTGGGCTCGCCCCATCCTCAGCAGCAGTGAGCAGCTGACACTGTCAGGGCCCCAAGTGGAGGGCCGGGGCCGGGCAGACACAGGCCGTGGCGGGGACACGTGCTCACCGTTACACGCGCAGGACTCCAGCTGCTGCTCCCTCTCGCAGAAGGGCACACACTTGCCGTCCTTGCACTTGCCCAGGTCCAAGCACACCGTGTCGTCCTCGGCGTTCCCCGGCGGAGGGCACTCACTGCTGTTACCTGGGAGCACCAACAACCGAGGCCCCGTGAGTCGCACCTCCAGTCCCACAGGGCGTGCCACACACATGGTCCCGACCCTGAGTCCGGTCTGGCAGAGTAAAAGGTGACCCACGGGCAAGGATGACACGGCCGTGTCTAATCGGCAGGCAAGCAGATGAGGTCTGGGAGAGGGCCAGGCCCCGAAGGTCCCCAATGCCCACACTCTGTCTCCCTGGCCTCACCTCAGCCACTAACACTGGCCGTGCAGTCTGCTCTACCTTTTACTGTGAAACCTAAGAGACATGTAATATATGCGTATGTGCTATCACACTAGTAACACCAACACTAGTGCCACCAGCTAGACTGAAAGCGCACTCCCCGGGGAGAGGTGTTCAAGAAACTGTATATGAAGATGAGAAATCACTTTTCAAGCATCAAACTGGCAAAAAGTAAGAGTCTTGGCAAGGACGTGGGACAGAGGCGCCACGGGCCCTCAGGGGCACTGACACACTGTCCTCCAGCTCTGGGACCAGTGCAGGAAGGGCTGTCTGCCGCAGCCCTGCCCCACGTGTCCAGATGGTGGCTATCCCAGCAGCTACTGCTCGACGAGTGAGATCATTACATGACTAGCGCCCGGCAGGTGCCCCCAACATGAACTCAATGCAGACACAGATAGCACACAGTGCAACAGAACGACTCGTGAGAAACAGTACTGAGTGGACAGATCTAAGGTAGAACGCCATTTCGGCATGTTAAACACTCCGACACAGAGCAGCACCTTATGTTTCAGGGGGAAACACACATCCAGGCAAACGTTCATCACAGCAGAAGGGACGCCTACGAGAGGGAGGAGCGCGACGGGAGGGGAGGAAGGGGAACTGTCCGGAAACAGACGGGTCTGCAGGACCCTGACCGTGTGCCACACACTAAGGAGCACCCTCCACTCCGCATGGGAAGTGAAGAGACGGCTGCTTCCATGTAAGTGAAACAAGCCCGTGTCCCAAACACGCACGTCCCCACTTGAGCAGAGTCTTCCAGAAGCAGCAGGAGCCGTACCTGTGCAGTAAGACACGCCTTTGCACGTAGCATTAATGGCCTCTTGGCACTTCTTCTGGGCAGTCTCAAACTGGCAGTTTTTACAGCAAGGACTGTTCCGGTCACTGCAGAGGAGCAGACAGGGACCATTCAAGTCAAAGGACAGTTCAGAGCCAACACTGCAGCCCTGTCACAGGCCCTGAGGATCGGTCGCAGGGCAAGGTCTCCGGGCTGGGTCACCCACTCCTGCATAACCCGACCTGCAGGTGCTGGCGCCATCTGCATACCCTCTGTCTGCCTGTCCTCATGTGGAATCAGGCAGAGCAACGTAGACAATAGGTCAGGCTGGTCCCGAGTGACTCGTCTTTAAAACATCTTGGGTGTCCTGCCCTAGCCGGTTTGGCTCACTGGATAGAGCATCGCCCTGGGGACTGAAGGGCCCCAGGTTCGATTCCAGCCAAGGGCATATACCTTGGTTGCAGGCACATCCCCAGTAGGGGGTGTGCAGGCGGCAGCTGATCGAAGTTTCTCCCTCTCCCTTCCTCTCTGTAAAAAAATCAATAAAATATATTTAAAAAAATAAAATAAAACATCTTGGGTGTCCTCGGTTTTCATTAGCTTAATATACATAATACATTAATGTAAAAGAGAACACTGGCCTGTAGGCAATCAATGGTCAAGAAACGAAGCAGCCCAAGCCCTCCTCCGAGTATTTACATGTTAATATGCATGTAGGCAGTCAAGTCTGTGATTCACCATCAACTAAAGCTGTCCCCTCTGCTTCCAGGCAGGCCTGGCTCTCAGGGACATAAAAATGGCAACAGAGGTGCCTTCCAACTTGTAACCTGCTCCCTCCACATTTGGTGTTGCCATTAAACGGGACAACACTAAACTCTTGTGTATGTGTCCCAGGACTGCCAGTCGATGGTGTCCAGAATTTGCTATTACAGTGGGGCCTTGACTTACGAGTTTAATTCGTTCCGAGACCAAGCTTGTTGAGGAGCTCGTTAACTCAAATTACTCTATCAACTCTGCAAAAAATCGGCCGAGAGACACCTGGTATTTCAAAAAACTCGTTAGTCAGGACACTCGTAAGTCAAGGCCCCACTGTATAGAGAATGCAGCATGAAGAGAATCATCGACCGTCTTCCCTGACCCCTGTTTCCTCAGAAACGATTCTTGCTCTGGGGGAGTCTCCACGTGACCGCAAAGTGTGTGAGAGTAGGGATTCCATGACAGACTGGCAGACTGCTTGGAGGAAGCATTTCTCTTGCTGTAATGGGCAAAGGGTAAACACCTATGTGCGCGCACACACATATATACATGCACCCGGCACACACGCCCTCTCATCGATTCCAAAGCCCCTGTGCTTGCAATCTGCCCCTCCCGGCTCCGGCCCTGCCCCGGCCGTGCCCCGCCGCGCCCACCTGCACTGGACGCCCTCCTTCAGCGTGCAGTTGCTGTGGCAGCAGGTGTCGTTGTTCAGGTACATGATGCCCGGGTCGCACTCCTCTCCTTCGTCCACGCGGGAGTTCCCGCACACTTTGTTGCTGCGCTCTTGGAAACACTCCTGGGCCTTGCTTTCGATGGTCTTGTAGATGGACTGTTTACTGCAGTTTGAAAACAGCTGAGGAGCAAAAAGGACCCAAAATAACATGAAAATCCATTCCCCTGTGTTTGCACCGCCTCTCTAAACTCTGAATACAAAAGTCCATTGGAGCCTCCTGAAGGCGTGTCAAGTTCATGGCTGTCCCTCTATGTGCCTCTGCCTGGGACTGATCCTCGCCCTCTGTGAAATGTTGAGAGGCGGGTGCGGATTTGGCGAAGAGCCTAAAATTCCTCACAGGAAGGCAAGCTGCACGCAGGCTGACCCCAAACATCCCAGCCAGTCCGTCGAGAGGACGAGCAGTCGGGCACGAGTGGAGGACCGTGAGCTCTACCAGACCACGAGCCGCGCCTGCTCGGGCCTGGCACCGCCGGGGACAGTGCGAACCGTCACAGACCTCGTCTTCCTAGATACCACGTGCAGGCACGCCAATGGGCTGACCTGGCTCCCCACCCCTTCCCTGGCTATCTGTATGAATGATCCATGTTTAAAGACTTTCAATAGTTGAGCTTACTGAGAAGCAGTCTTATATTCACTGAGTGGCCAGATTATTATGAACACCTGACATTTATAGGCAAATTAGCCGTACACTGCTTCGTATGGGATATGGAAGCTGAAGGCCTGTTCGAACACCTTTGTGTCTGCAGTTACCAAGATAAAACGTCTCTAATTCGCACAGGAACACAAGGATTGGACAGTCGAGCACTGGAAAAAAGTCATGTGGTCCGATGAATCACGTTTCCAGTTGCATCATGCAGATGGCAGAGTGAGAATTTGGCGGAAACAGCATGAAAGCTTGCACCCCACATGCATGAGTACAACCCTTCAAGCTGATGGGGGCAGTGTTACGGTTTGGGGAATGTTTTCCTGCATGATTGGGGCCCTTTAATTCGTGTGGAACAACGTCTGAATAGCACAGCATACCTAAGTATCGTTGCTGATCAAGTTCATCCTATCCTGTTGCTGGCGTATCCCAATGGAAATGGCTTCTTCCAACAAGACAAGGCGCCATGCCACGGTGCTCGTATTGTGCCCAAGTGGTTTCAAGAACATAAGGGAGACTTTACCTTGCTTAGGTGGCCCCCACAATCACCAGATCACAATCCAATGGAGCATTTGTGGGACGGAGTTAAAAAGAGCCATCAGGCTGAGACCGGTTTGGCTCAGTGGATGGAGCGTCGGCCTGCGGACTGAAAGGTCCCAGGTTCGATTCCGGTCAGGGGCATGTACCTGGGTTGCGGGCATATCTCCAGTAGGAGATGTGCAGGAGGCGGCTGATCGATGTTTCTGACTCTCTATCTCTCTCCCTTCCTCTCTGTAAAAAATCAATAAAATATATTTAAAAAAAAAAAAAAAGAGCCATCAGGCAGCTGGTTCCACAACCATCAAAGCTCACAGAACTGGACAGTGCTATTCATCAGGCATGGTGTCAGACTCCTCGCATCACCTTTCAACATCTCGTGGAGTCAATGCCAAGAGGAATCACCGCAGTATTGAAGGAAAAAGGTGGCCCAACGAAGTACTGATGGGGTGGTCATAATAATCTGGCCACTCAGTGTAGTCTATTAAAATATTAATTCTAAACTGTCATCTAAACCAGCGGTTGCCAACATTTTGGACCTCACAGACCACCAGGGTCTGTGGACCACCAGCTGGCGACCGCTGCTCTATACATTCTCATGAGCCCCAGGATCTTCAGTTTTCGAAGGTGACCAGTGGCTCAAAGGCTCCTCTACCCTCACTTCCCAGAACCACGAAGGTAGCGGCTCCTCCTAAACTCGACAGACTTAGCAGCCAGGAGCTCTGACAGAGTCCACTGGCCAAGCCACCTGACACCGTGAAGAAGGCTAAGAGGCACAGGGAGAGCTCGGCATCGTTATCTGAGGTGGGGTCTCCACACTTCTCTGCAAATTGCTAAAATGGCTTCTTTCACCCCAGACAAGCGCCACCAAGCCCCTGAGGAGTGGAGAGCACAGGACTCCGAGGTGATGTGACCACTGAGGCGCACACAAGGAACGGCCAGAAAGCTCTCCGAGAGCCACCACCCTGAACAGAACACGACCTGGTCTTCTGAAAGGCCCTTCCAATGGTTACAGTGAAGACGCTTGCTCGGGCCTGGCTCCCGACAGGCAGGACAAACCCTCCAGCATCTCTCCCTCCCAGCCCTGAGTCTGCACGACAGCAGTGTTTTCTCACTGCTCGCTGCTGCTCAGCTCCAGGCACCATGAAAGGACCAGACGCCTAGGGACACTCCCTCTTAAAGTCTCTGTCGTTAACAATATCCCAAGCCAACCCGCATAGCTATCAGAATAGACTGTTCACATACGTACCAATACACTGACCAGGTGCCACCTACCCGACCAGACACTGGAGACAGAGCTGCGAACAGAAAGACCAGGGCCCTTCCCACAGGAGGCTTAGAGTCTGACTAATTATGTATTTTGTTGCAACAGTTTATGAAAACATGCAAATGGTGAAGTACTGCAGAGTTTAAATGAATGACAACTTGTACATGAAAATGAGAGAAGTTTTAACTTACAGCCTGAGCCCACCAGCCCCTGCAATCCAGACCTGCAACACAAACCTAAGCTACTGCTAAGTGTCCAATGGCTCAAACGCACATGCTTCACCTTGATAACAAACAGCCCCGACAACAGCTGTACCCAGATGTGATGGGCCACATTCACTCCCAACACACAGCCAAGTTTCCAGGTACTTGGGAGTTTGCCGTCCATCCCTGAACGGACCCGTTCTGAGCTCTGGTTATTACTCAGTAGCCTCTTTCTTTCCCAGCCACGTCAAGACCTCCGAGACACATACCTTATTGTTCTCATGATCTCCGCTCACAGCTATGGGATACATCACGAATTTTCCTCCCTGGTCCTCATTTGGGGCACATTCCGCTAGACCATCCGGATCATGTTCTGCTCCAAAATTGTGCCCCAATTCATGAGTTGTAACCAGGTCAGCTTCCTTAAAGATCATGCAAAGAAAACATTACTTTCCAATACCCAACCACCACCGGCTTTGGCCAGTGGGCCCCGCTGTCTTATAGGGCCCTGAGGAATGGGATCCTGAAAGATCCTAACTCTGCTCAGAGGACAATGTCCTCAGCTAAAGCAGCCACCTTCCCACGTTCCCTTGAGCATCTGGGCAGCCATGTGACCGGCTGTCGCTGAGCTATAAACAGAAGCCAGTGGGTGGGACCTCCAGACCAGTTTTTAAAAAGGGACAGACTATGCTCTCTTTGTCCTCCTTTCTGCAACACCGAAGGGAACCATCGTGTGACCATGAGGACAAAGGCTTAAGGACAGAGGGAAGACCCTGGGCCCCCAGCATCTGAGCGCGGGAACACCTCAGAATGCCGCCCACGAACTTCTCGACTGTGGCAAACACACCCCTTATCTAAGTCACTGCTTACTGGATTTCTGTTATGTGGACTTTCTGGAATATCCCTAACACATTCCTAATGGATATATCTGGACAAAAACAAGATCCCAAAATATTCCAGAGGAAAGAACAGGTCACATACAAAGCATAAAAGATTGGAGTGACTTCAGAGTCTTTAACAGGAACACAAAGCACTAAAGGACAATGGAGCCATGCCTTCAGATTCGGAGGGAACTGGGAATGCACGAGCTAAACGATCCAGTTTAAAGCGCAGGGGAGCTCCTGAGGGTCTGTACCAAAATGCTGATATTAGTCATGAAGAGAGTGTGGGCCCAGGAAAGGGGAGTCCGGGTGACAGACCATAGCCACATGCAGGGCCAGCAACCAGCACCTGCAGAGGAGGGCAGCGGAAGGGCCCCGGGGACAGCTTATGGAAAACAATGGCCCAGATGGGTCTTGGAAGAAGTTTGACCAGTAATTTTTATTTTCTTCTTTATACCTTTTATTTTCAGATTTCTCACCAAAGAACATGTGTTTAGGCCAAAAAAAACACAACCACACACACAAAAAACCTAGTATTTAGTACTCTTTTAGAAGATATCTACATAAATATATAACAACTATAATAAACTAAACATCTATCCTTTTAAAAAATAAAAGAACATACCTTCGTAAGAATGGTTTTACCATAATTTTTTGTGCTGGTCAAACCACTATTCAAATAGATATTTTTCTTTCCAATTGGACTATAATAAGCTAAAGGTGAGAAAACAGACAAATTGCTTGTTCAGTACAGAATTCCAATATAAGCCAATCAGCCTGCTATTCCCACACAGTCACACAGCAAATGGGAAACTTACCCTTTGGACAAACACCTCCGTGACTGTTTGCTCTGGGAGAACCAACATAAGCCAATCCAAGAGTTCCCATATCAAAATCCTGGTACGTGAAAAGATGTGCTAGGCAGACTTTAGATGCCTCTTCCGCTATATCAAAGCTAAATTGCTTTAAAAAAGCAAAGTGTTCTTAATTAGATTAACAATAACATGACATGGAAAGATCTTTCATCCAAGTATTCCAGATCAGCTCCATATGATTGCAGGTCTGCACCAAATAGTGCGGGCAACGCAGGGAATGCTCCTTGCCCACAGCTCGCACCCACCTACCTGCACAGGTGAGGAGCAGACTGCCATCTGAAGGGGGTGGGGACGCCAAAGGGCTGGGCGGGGAGCTTTTTATGGCAGTTCCAAGGAACGATGAGGGTGGTGGGAGAGCACACAGGCCGGCACTGGGGACATTCCAAACCTGCCAGGCCCAGCACTGGGACGCCTACCTCTCTCAGGGGCCTCAGAACTTCGCGCGAAGACAAGGGCTTCTAAAGTATTTCAAGAATTCTAATGGTTTTAGAAGAAACCTCTACTACAACAACCCACAGTCTCCAATTAAAAAATACCTTGATTTTTAAAATGCTTAAAATGAACAGCAGGGTCCTGACCAGGTAGCTAGGTGGTGAGAGCGTCATCCCAATACACTAAGGTTGTGGGCACAGCGTTTTGCCCTGCTGGCTGCTGGCCCTGCTGCAGGGGACAGGTGACTGCTGACCAGCTGTCTGGGCTGCTCCGGTTCCCCAGCCCCTTTTCTAACATGTCCCTTCGTCAGTAGACATACCCCTCCCTCCGCCCCCGCCCCGGTAGAAACCACAAGTGGTAGCAACAGCGCCACACCCAGGGCTCCCCACCTACCTCCAGCAGCATCTTCACATCCCAGGCATCCTTTTCTTCATTTGGATAACTTTTTGCCATATTATAGTGCCTCTGGCCAGGTTTCACATCCTCTGGAGTCTTGAAAATGCGAATCTATACTTAAAGAGATAATACACTTAGAACACTTCAGAAAAAGTCACAAACTAAATACTGCATTGTTTCAGATACTCAATAAAAGCCAATTCTAGAAAAAAATATGTTTTGGAACCAGAATTACATAAAATCCTTCAGCCCTAAATAATTAATGTTTAAAAACAAAGTGAGAAGCAGATGATAATGGAGAATTTGTCAATAAATGATTTATAAACTTACAAATGTACTCCCAAATTTTCATTTTTTCTATATTTAGTTCAAACAATGAGAACTTCAGTTCCATTAGCCTAAAATATTTAGTTCAACTCTAGTCAATGATGCAGAGATGCAGACTAGGATGTACGTCACTATAAGCCACAGGAGTAAAAGGGTATTAAGAACAGGGGCTGTTCCTTGTACATGTAGCACAAATACTATTAATCCTGCAGCAGTCAGGACCATGCTCGGCAGGTCGCTCCCGAGGTCTCTGGCGCTGCCTGCCTGTGGAGGGCATAACGGCTCTGCTTTGCCACCACGTGGGAAGCCCACTGGGTGCGCTTTGCAGCTCTGGGGGTGGGTGGTCAAGACCAATTCTGGGATGGAACAGGAAGCCTCCTGTGGCGGCCCATCTAAGCCGTATCTTCCAACCCGCTTGTTATCATTAAAGAGGCTGATATTTTTAGCCCCTAGATCACATCTATTTTTTCAACTGGTTCCAAGTTCTAAAGCAAAAAAAAAAAAAGCTTTCTTTACTGATCCCCTAAAACTCAATCAAGTTGCAGCTGTTTTAAACAAGTGAGGCAGCTTTATTTGAACCACAGTGGGGTAGTCACCAACATATTCATGAAATGGAAAAGCATGATCCAGAGAGTACGCATACCACCACTGTGTCAAATACACACACACACACACATGCTATACATGCAGAAAGGTCTCTGGAAAAATACACATGAATCTAGTGACATGGGTGTCTCTGGGGAAAGAAACTGGTTTGACAATGAGCGGAGATTGCGGAGACTTACTTTTCACTGGCTTTTGTACCATATGTATATGTTACCTATTCAAATAATAACTTAAAAAAAGAAAATGCAAGTAAAAGAATGGGAAAAGGGAAAAATAATTCTCTTAGTTTTATGCAAGTACTATAAAAGTTTAACATTTATAAGAATGATGTATAATTTCAAGGTTGTTTTTGTTTTACTCTCTAAATTCTAGCTACAGAGCCTATAAGAATATGGTTAATTCAGAACAAAGCCTAGGAAAAAATACAAACAATAATTTCCATATCAAAGTGTCCAGAGCAATACCCAATTTCAGAACAGTCTTTTTAATTAGTCTTATCAATTTGGAACAATTTTTACTATGAGATACTAAGATGACATTAATACACTGTGGCTGGACACACTCTATTTTTTAAAATATATTTTTTGCCGTAACCGGTCTGGCTCAGTGGATAGAGCGTTGGCCTGCAGACTGAAAGGTCCCAGGTTCAATTCCGGTCAAGGGCATGTACCTTGGTTGCGGGCACATCCCCAGTAGGAGGTGTGCAGGAGGCAGCTGATCGATGTTTCTCTCTCATCGGTGTTTCTAGCTCTCTATCCCTCTCCCTTCCTCTCTGTAAAAAATCAATAAAATATATTTAATAAAATTTTATTTATTTATTTATTTATTTATTTGGGGTTTTTTTTGGGAGAGAGGAAGAGAGAGATAGAAACACTGCACACCCCTATGGGGATTGAGCCTGCAACTTGGACATGTGACCTAACCGGGGATCAAACCCATCACCTCTTGGTGCGTAGGATGATGCTCAACCACTGAGCCACACCAGCTGGGCTGGACATATTCTATTAACAAGATATAAGAAATCAGGAGGTTTGGGAGAAAGTTCTAATGGGTCTGTACGCATAAATGCCTTGCAATGTACACAGTAGTTCTGAGCAACTTTTCTGACTACAGACTCAACACTACGTGCCAGGATTCTAACTGAAGACAGAAAGCATGATCGCAGGCAAGGAAAACAGGGCAGGGGATAGAAAGGCCCTGAATTCAGAGAAGGGAGAGATCAGAGCAGCAAAAAAGGCTTTTTGCCTAAAACAAGCTTAAGAACAGAAAACTTCATAATCTATAAGTAATTAATAGAAAAAACACTGTAATTTAACAAATAAAAATTATGGCATTTATTTATTTATGATTAGATCTGAAGTGACAAATATTTACATGACAGAACTTAGCTGAGTATGTGAGCCAATGCATTGATAAGTACCTGTTCTATCTGTATTCCATAACCTTTAAAGCCTGCGTTGTCCCAGGAAGTGTTCCGGTAGATGTCATCGACTCTGTCAATGAGCTCTATCTGTGAGAGGGAGAGACATTATGTACCGTTACTGCTCTTTGCACCGTAATGAATCCTGCAGGGAGAAAGCGCCATTATAAAAGTTTCTACCAATTACAAACACTAGCATAATAGCATCTTTATCACTGACAGTGCTAACAAAGAAGTTATTCCCAGCCCCAAATAAAGTGTTGTTACCAGAGTAAAACAGTGGTACACCTTAGTATAAATCAAAGTAATCAACTGCATATGGAACCAAAATACCAAGTAACCAGTTTTTTTTTAAAAAAACCCTGCCATTCCAGTCAGTTACAAAAATGAAAATGAATAGTCCATCGATTTACCTAAAAGTCTCTTCTAGGAAATATTCTGTCTTCACTCGGTCTCTTGGCCAATTCCTCAAACGCCTTCCTCAGAGAGAGTGAGGAGCAGTGCCAGGCCCTGCTCAGCTTGTCCCCGCCCGCCCTGGGCGGAGTGCAGCATGGGGACCAGGCCGAGAGCCAGGAAAATGAGGCTCACCTCCCCCTTCCCTCTGTGCTCTCACTTGGGAGGGGGAGGTGGTTAGCGAGGGAAAGGATGATAGCCAAGGACGGTTCACACCACCAAGAACAAAACACTCAGCAGTACCTTCTCTCAAAGAGAATTTTTTATTGTTCAAAACTGGCTAGATGAGGTTTTTTGGGCAACTGCAAAGCATATTATAGGTAGAAAACTGCTCTTTGCTTAGAGCAGTGATGGTGAACCTGACACGCGTGTCAGAGGTGACACAGAACTCATTTTTTTGGTTGATTTCTCTTTGTTAAATGGCATTTAAATATATAAAATAAATATCAAGAATATAAATCTTTGTTTTACTATGGTTGCAAATATCAAAAAATTTCTATATGTGACACAGCACCAGAGTTAAGTTAGGGTTTTTCAAAATGCTGACATGCTGAGCTCAAAAGGTTCGCCATCACTGGCTTAGAGTTACTGTAAGACTAAGAAATGCAAATTTTAAGAGTACAGTAAGTCCTCAAGTTACGTCAGAGATCCGTTCCTACGTAACACAATTTTCTCTGTAAGTCGAAACCCACCTACATAAGCACCTACGTCACTCACTGGGAGCACATACACAGCAGTAATGAAGTGAAGCAGTAAAAAAAACAAATTAAAAGAAAGAGAACACCAGGGGATTGTCAAGGGCGGGGAAAAAAAGGAGACATATGTAATACTCTTTGTAATACTTTAAGCAATAAAACAATTAAGAAAAAGAAAATGGAAAAGGAAAAAAAAAGAAACAGTAAATACCAAAAAAAAAAAAAAAAAGAAAGAGAACAATTCCTGACCTTCACTTGTGGTAAATAAATAATAAAAAACATAAAGCACATATGTACATACATACGTCGAAATGACGGAACTTTTTTTTTATATAAATGGGAGATGGCGACATAACCACGAAAGGACATACGTCGAGTCCGACGTAACCCGAGGACTGTCTGTGCTAGTTAACCTCTCATTATATTCATATTCTTGGTGTAATGAACAAAGAAGTAAATTAAGAGAACTCCTTAATACAAAGCCCTATTAAGAAACTTTTTCAGGAAATCTCTCTTCCATAGGAGCAAGAATTACAGTGACTTCACACACTGCTCCTACTAGCTTCACAATGACTTCTTTCACTTGGCGAGGAGGAGAGAGAAGGGTGAGGGCGGGCATGGCAGAGAAGGGCCACCGAGAGGCAACGAGAAAGACGTCTTTACTGAGCCAGACTCTTGGCTCATGAAGAGTTGCATTCGCTTATTTCCTAAACAGCATTTTGGTCAGTGCCAAGTTATCAGACAAATGAGGTCATACTATGAAAAATGTCAATGAAATCTGATTCTCTTGACTTTTCAAAATTACAACGGTAAATGCTTAAAAATCCAGTGTCAATACTTCTGTAATCTTCACTCTCAGCCCGCAAGTTGGTTATAAGCATGAAGGTCCCATCTATTTCTCAGAGCCCAATAATTAACCATTTTATGGCACAAACCAAACCCATCTTCTCTGAAATATGCATATAAGCAGAAATCAGTTTAGAGAAAACGCCATTATAAAAGTTTCTACCAATTACAAAAACTAGCATAATGTTTATTCTTTATACAAATACATTTTCCACTCTAGAGCAACATTCACATGTCCCAGTAAGATCACTGCCATTATAGCAGTAATGTTTTCAAAGAATTCACTTGGGTAAAGAGAGGCCTATGTAATGAACTCTCCCTAACCCTAATATGCATAAAAATTCTACTGTGCAGAAAATAATAGTTCAAAGGTAAAACAGGTTTTCAAATATTTGAAACTAAAATCTCTATGCAGTAATGCAAGAACCTCAGATAGCCCTCAAGTATTTTATGAAATAATACGGCATCTGAAACAGATCCATTTCTTCATGTTTCAAATTGTGCAGTCCTCTCCTAAGGGAAATGAGTCTACCTACATGAGTGTTTTTGTCCGTTACCTTCTCCCGTATCAAATACTTACTAAGTAATTGGTGGTGGTGCTCTCTTCCCCTCTGCCCATGTGCTTGTAAAAGCGATGATCTGCCACCACCAGTAATTTACACGTGTTCTTCATGGGATCAGGGTCGGCTCTTCTCCTCACCCGATGAACAAGTTCTAATAGGAATTTGTAAGCACTATTACATCAAAGTTCATCAAACAAGGAGGTTTTATAGTAACTCTTTAAACCTAGCACAGCTTTGAAACAAACATTACATGAATTTAGTTTCCTTACAGGTATCTTGAACAAAAAAACCCCCCACAATTTGAAGGAAAAGTGAAAAGTAATATGAGATTTGAAAATTGTAGAATTCAAATCCTAGCTGGTTTGGCTCAGTCAACAGAGCATCAGCCTGCGGACTGAAGGGTCCTGGGTTTGATTCCCGTTAAGGGCACATGCCTAGGTTGCAGGCTTGATCCCCAGTAGGGGGTGTGCAGGAGGCAGCTGATCAATAATTCCTTCTCATCACTGATGTTTCCACCTCTCTCCCTTCCTCTCTGAAATCAATAAAAATATATATTTTTTAAAAATTGTAGAATTCAAAACCAAGGAAAAGTGTCTGTAATTTTTAAAATGAGGCAACTTTAAAAAGTACTTGCAAGTAAAGCAATCAGCTATTTATTGCTCGCCTATGAAGCTCTCACTCTCTTCTAGAAGTCCACAAATTAACCAAAGTAATGGCAAAAATATCAAGGTAATCAAAGACATTAAAAACCAGTTTGTGTTAATAGGTTTTCTTATCAAATAATGAAATTGTTTAAGAATTTATTTATATACTAAAATGCTAGTAATATTTTCTAAGGTTTGCAAAAATAAGGACAGTAGACTATTTCTCCAAGATGGTTGTTTTCAAAAGGTGCTAAATGGATCTGCCCCAAACTGATAAGCTTCATCTTTCCAATCATTAAAGAGCTTTCCTGCTACCAAGTAATGTCTTATCACTTATCTAAAGATTGTTTTACAGCAGTATTATTTTGTCATTTTTAAATACCTGCAAATAAAAAAATACTTTCCCTCAGATTATTCAATTCCCCTTTCCCCAATCTTTTTTAAAGTCTAATCTTTACTGTTACGATTGTTTTCTAGTGTTTTTATTTCTTGTATTATAGGCAAAAGAATTAACATAAAAATTTCTGAACAGAGCTATTTTCCAGCCAAATACTATAGTTACTTGAAAAACATGCTTTTTAAAGAAATCACCTTAACAACCCTATTGAAGACAGCACAGTGCTTGTTTCCTACTTGAAATATGTTTTTTTAAGTCTTACCCTTAGGTGCCTCTCCATCTACCAGCCCTTCTGGAAGCAAATCTTCATTTTCCGCCTTTATGTAACCACACACTTTTGAAGAGTGCAACCGTGAAACGTTCTTGATATCTTCAGATTTATAAACTAATATTCTTTTGTCTTTAGTATCATTAATTAGTCTCCAAAGTGGCTAAAATTAAAAAAATATAATTGAGATGGAAAATATAAAAATTCCTAAACATTAAATTCTTACATCCTTTCCTTGTTTTTAGATAACATTCATTTCCAGGCTAAGTAAACTGACTAGTCATTTTTATAGGAAATAAACCATTTCAATTTTTATCGTAAGAGTTTCTATGCTAGGAAACAGATACATGGATTATTCACTTTTTTATTTTACCTGTAGATAAAGAAGGGCATTATTTTGCACAAGTTATGAAACCTTTTAGAAGAACCAGAAGAGAAAATGCATATCCTTTTCCATTCACTGATTCAAAATATTTATGTTAACACCAACCATGCTGGGTGATGGGCAGACAGCATGGAAGTTAGACAAGATTCTGTTCCGATGCTTTTTCATTCTCGTTTCCTTAACATCTTACATGCACAGGAAAGAAAAATACCTTCGCTTACAATATTGCAAGGCCACCGTAAATCAGAACTAACATATTCAAAAGGGTACCCAAGTCAAAAGAATGTTTATTATTTCGAACTCAAGTTCCTCTCTGTAAGGGACATTGGTCTCATCAGAACCAAACAGCTTGTGAGAAAGGTTCAAAAAGATAAAATTTACATACACACATGTATATCCATAACCATCATGAAAATGAAATTAAAACGACAAGAAAACACTACTTCATACCCAGCAGGAAGACTATAATAAAAAATACACCCAGAACAGGTGTTGGCGAGGAGGTGGACAAAGCAGACTCTCATGCATGCTGGTGCACATGTCACATGGGCTGTCAAATGCAGTATGTAAAATGTGAGCTTGTCAAGTACAGCCACTATGGAAAACAGTGTTACTGTATGACCCAGCAGTCCCACTCCTAGTTTATATCCAAGAGAAATGAAAGCATGTGCTCAAACAAAAACTTGTGCACAAGTGTTCACAGCAGCGTTATTCATAATAGCCAAAAAGTGGCAACAACTCAAATGTCCAATGGATAAAGGAATAAGCAAAAGGTGATATATCCATACAATAGAATGCTACTTGGTTATAAAAAGAAATAAAGTACTGACACATGCTACAACACGAATGAAGCAGGAAAACATAAGTGAAAGCAGCAGTCACAAAAGCCCACACACTGTGTAGTTCCACTCATGTGAAATGACCAGGCAAATCTAGAGAGAGCAGCACGTCAGTGGTTGCCTGGGGCTAGGGGAAGAGGGAGAAAAGGGTGATGGGGGTGATCAAAATGTTCTAAAACTGATCATGTGATACCTACACTATTCTATGAACATACTAAAAACCACCAAGTTATATAGTTTAAATGGGTAAACTGTACAGCGAATTGTATCTCAATGAAGCTGTTAAATACATACATACTCTCTTATAATCCATGTAGGAGGCAGATTTAAAAACAATGGCTACAGAACCTCAGGCTACAGAGACCTCAGAAAGTTCACTAACCAACTCCTCGCTATCGAAACCTTCACAAACCTGCACCTGGCCTACGAACAGGAAGAGGACATTTTTTTCTTTGGGCACAAACACTTCTAAATTCATATTAATCGTTTCATAATATAGCCCACCTTGCAGAGAAAAAGACAGCAGGCTTCGGGATCAGCTATGCCTGGGTTCAAACCTCACTGTGCCCACCGCATGCCTGGGAGATGCTAACGTATCAGCATAACTGTTCTCATTGGGTAAGGCAGTGGTAACGCCTCTCCTGAAGATAATGTCGAATATGAATCCAGTTACATATTAAGATTTCAAAATGAAGGGAGTTACTATTACTAGTACTAAAAGCAGATCCTATTCTCACCATTTCTAAGAGAGTGCTGAATCCTGTAATAACCACTACTACTAACCATGACTGGACCCTAAATTGGAAGGGGAAAAAATCCATGAAAGAGATTTTGAGGAGGACAAGAGATTTTTTTGACTATGCACGGATTGTCAGCACTGAAATATACCTGAACCTTTCCTTTTAACTAATCTTCATTATAGTTTTCCCACAGGTGTTCTGTTTTGATGATACCCAGAGTATTCGCATTTTCCTAGAAACAGAGAATACCTTCGACCCACCATCTGTGGCAAATGTTGTTTTCCAGACTAATCTCTGACACACGGCTACCAGTCCTGCACAAACGTGACCAGTGCAGCCCTGGTTTTACTGCTAGTACTTTAACAAAAGAGCGGCCCGAGTTTCCTACTTTCCTCTTTTAACCCCTCAGACCAGGGGTCCTCAAACTACGGCCCGCGGGCCACATGCAAATACAAATATTGTATTTGTTCCCGTTTTGGTTTTTTACTTCAAAATAAGATATGTGCAGTGTGCATAGGAATTTGTTCATAGTTTTTTTTTTAAACTATAGTCCGGCCCTCCAACGGTCTGAGGGACAGTGAACTGGCCCCCTGTTTAAAAAGTTTGAGGAACCCTGCCTCAGACTCTAAACTATTACCCTTCATTGCTCTTGCATTTCCAGAGCATCTAGGAGGAGAAAAAAAAGGAGAAATGGACAAATAAGACTTCACCTTCATCCTTGAGAGTGTTTACACCAATAATAGGATTATTAGAGTAAGAATAAGGAAAAAATGAGTCGGGAAGGGAAAGGAAGTTTTCTCTTCCTATTATCCACCCACATGTGATTTTTACCCAATTATGGTGTCAGAAATACAGAGTGCATCTTATGACAGCTTCTTAGCCATTTGTAAAAAATATCACCTTCTTTAAAACATCATCTACTTTCCTAATTAAAAATCTTTAAATACAAGGAAAAAAGAAGTATACTTATAGATCTTTGTCTTCTTACAACAACTGGGAAACGACTTTTTGAAAATCAGAGATAATTAAGTGAAGTCAGAGAGAAAAATGACAAGAACCATATGATTTCACTCATATATGGGATATGAAACAAAAAGCAACAAACAAAAGGCAAACTCATTCAGACAACAGCAAGGTGGTTACCAGATGGGAAGGGGTGAGAGGAGGACAAAGAGGGCAAAGGAGGTCAAACATATGGTATCGGAAGAAAACTAGACTTCTGGGGGTGGGCATACAATTGCGTATACAGATGTCATCTTATAATGCTGTACTCCTGAAAGTTATGTTATTAACCAATGTTACTCCAATAAATTTAATAAAATAGACATTTGATGAAAAAAAGATATATGCTAAGAAAAAAACTCATGTTAGATTTACCTCTATATTATATTCTGCCCCATCTGTGTTGATCCTTATTGTAATATCATCATCTCCTATATGGGCTAGAACCCTAGAGTCAGGCTCACCTTAAAGAGAAAAAAATTTATTTTCATTATTAAAAAATACTTATATCAAAAAATAAACTATGCCGCACTGCCATTAAAACTCAACAAAGCCCTTCATCAGAGTGCATCTGCCCAGACACTGTGAACACCATGGGAACACCCGGAGCAGAGAGAGACTCGCCTCAGGAGGGGCCTCTATCCAGTCATCTGACACCTCTCTCTCGCTTCCAGCTTCTGAATGAGAATGATCTAGAGTCTGTTACAGAACAAAACCAGCCAGCCTGTAATTTCCTCCGGGAATAACTGCCTACTTTGGGCGAAGAAAGAACGAAGAGGAGGCACAAAACATAATGTGAAACACAGAGGTCTTGAACTCTACTATTTGACGATTTTAATGCCATTTGTTTCTGACTGTAGAAAAAGTTCCAGAAGTAAACGACAATTGCTAGCTGGATACATTTTCTTAAATATAAAACAGGATCATAAAGACAGTTATTTTATCTCCTACGTTCTCTGTGTATAATCTCCTAAGGGAAGTCTACGATCCTTCTCTAAAGAAAAGGTTAAATCCTCATCACTTGAGAGGAAACTCATTTCAATCATCCAAGTGGTCAGCTAGTGTGGCAGCTGGTAACACCCGTATCCTCCTGCTTGAATGTTTTTGCTTCCAAACTTAGATAGCAGCAGTTCTGATACTCCTTCTCCCTCCCCCCCAAAAAGAATATGCAATCAAGTTAGATCTGGACACCTACCACCCCAGACACAAAGGCAAACAAGCTCCATACTGACCAACCACGTGTCCACGGAAGAAGTCTTGCCACTTGACGCTGTACTCGCTTTCATTTTTACCATCGACCACCACAACTTTGAAATTTTGGGAAAAGCGTTCAGTACTTGACGTCAGGTATAATTTAAAATGCCTGAAGAAAGAAAGCATCCATATTTTACTCTAAGAACATAAAATGGAAGCCTAATTTTCATTTAATTAAACTCCCTTAAAAAAGAAGTTGACAGAAGAGTTGATATTAATAAAATGCCATGCAAGTTTTCACTACTGTTTTACTAGGTACTTAGAGCACCGTGTCTCCTGTAAACACAAAGGACTAATCTCTTCAGTGTAAGAATCTGGCAGCCAAGAGCATCTAGAACTGGGAAAGAAGACTCGAGCAGCTTAGGCATTCATCTTTTCTGGAGACTGAAGAATAAGGAAACACACATCTGGATAGTGTAAGTCAAAGTCCTGCATGTCTTAAAAACTTATTAAAATCTGATATTATTTGAGACTATTTATTGAACACCTACGCAGTCCTAGATGCTCTGTACTGGTATATGTTGTAGCCACTTCACACAGTAAAAATTGAGGCTTGGAAATTAATCCACATATCCGAGGTTACACAGCTGGTAGATGGCAGAACTGGAAGCTGAATTTGGCTCCTTTCCGAAGCCTGTCCTATGCTGCCTCTAGCAATCCATCTGACGTTACTGCTGTGTACAAGTCACAAATGCTACTTTCTTGTGTTTAAAAGCACTCAAGCTTTTCTCCTCCTTCTAAAAAGATCTTGAAAAAAATTAATCCACAATACCACGAGGAAAATAAATACAAGGCAAAAACAACACAGACATTAAAATACACACTGCAGTTCTTCAGTTAGCTTAATATCCTTTCGTTTTCTATGAGTTTCAGTCTCTTTTTTTTAAATATATTTTATTGATTTTTTACAGAGAGGAAGGGAGAGGGATAGAGATAGAAACATCGATGAGAGAGAAACACCGATCAGCTGCCTCCTGCACATCTCCTACTGGGGATGTGCCTGCTACCAAGGTACATGCCCTTGACCGGAATCGAACCTGGGACCCTTCAGTCCGCAGGCCGACGCTCTATCCACTGAGCCAAGCTGGTTAGGGCGAGTTTCAGTCTTGACTTAAAAACTAGGCATAGCGAGCAAGAATTTTTCAATTATTATTTACAGAGTCCTTTCAATGTGCCCATGAACATCAAAAATAAAGGTATGTTTTTCATCTTAGCCACAGGAACAAATTTTGTCAGCTATGGTGTTGAAAATATGAAATGTTACTTCCTATGGGTCTGCATAAGCCTCAACTGCAAGAATCTAGACTAAGATTGTCTCCATGGCAACAAATATTTTTAACATTTTTGAGCATAACAAGGTAATTTTAGTTTGCTTGTGGGTTGTTTTTTTAATGGTCACAGAGAAAGAGACGATAGAACATTGTTTCAGAAAACCTTGGAACATTTTCTCCTGCTATCCTAACACTATCTTCCCACACATTCACAGGTATGATTTTTTTCCGTCAGTTATGCTGAGAACTTATTATCAATGCCTTATCATTTCATTTTAGAGCTCTCCAGGAGTTCTACATTGCTTTTACTTAATGTTCTTTCCAGAAAAACCACTGGAATTGTGCTCTTCACTTTCTACATTATTAGGGGCCAAGTGATATAAAATTCCTGTTTTTGAGTTTCCAATCTTCAACTTTCAGCTATAAAGCCTCCCACAGAATATATCAGTCGGAATTTATTTGTTACTCTATCCTCCCAAAATTATGTGAAGTCATGTACTTACAGAATTCTTTTGTAATTTTCATTTATCTTTGACTTTTAAGGATTTACAGTAACCACAAACATTTTTCTATTTTTTGTATATATCACCAAAAGATCATCACAATAAGTCTAGTTAATATCCATCTAACCAAGATCTAACTTCTAGTTTTTAAAACATAAATGTTGAATGTTGCCAAATTAAATTAACCTTCGCAAGCAATCAGCCACACCCAGAATGTTAGCCAGGGTGGTTTAGTGGGTTCTATTCATGGTCAATTAATGAAAATTCTTTGTTAGAATTCGATAAACATATTATGACCACCACTGACACTTTGGGAATACCTATTTACTTTTTAAAAATAATCATCAGTGTAAATTTTAGAATAGGCAATATACAGTGTAATAATCTGACAGACTAATTGTATTAATTACAAATCTTTAAAAATGTAACTTCCCAAGATACGCTTATATACCTGAAACTAATATAATACTGTATTATCAAATGTAATTGAAAAAATAAGTAACCTTTGGGGGGGGGGAAACAACTTATTTTTCTGCTTTTGCCAAACCAAGTCTCGCTTGCCCCAACATTTTTCTATGAATAATTCAAATTACCTTTTCAATGCTGAAAACGTCAGCAGTGTTTCTAAATGTGTTGATGCCTGTAGATCTCTCTTTCTTACCGAGTGCTGTTGGATACTGGATAAAGAGAGGATATCGTAGTCTGAGAGCAAAGAATCAAGCTTTTCTGAAATAAAGGCAAAAAAGTTATTAACACCTAAACCTACTAATCAATTGTAATATTACTAAAATGAGAGTCAGACAACAAACTCTTCCTAATGTACCACATTATGAAGTGCCCAGTGCACAAGTTATGAAGTATTCTTACAAAAAACACACAAACTGAACCTGAATCTAACCAAGATCTAACTTCTAGTTTTTAAAACATAAATGTTGAATGTTGCCAAATTAAATTAACCTTCGCAAGCAATCAGCCACACCCAGAATGTTAGAATTCCGGCAGAACAAATGACCCAATGTCTTCAGGAAATAAACAGCATGGGAAAGAAGGGAGGGGCGACACCTACTAGACAAGAACATGGCAAGCAAGCCCATGTGCGAACCTTTTTAGGTCCCAGGTCACACCAACCGACTGTGGAAAGATACTGTGGCAATGAGGGAAATCTGAGCACGAGTCCATGTTCATATCAGGCAGTGGTAATTTTGGTATCTTAAAGAGTATCATATTATGCAATGACCTAACTTCTAAATTAAAGGTATTTCTGGCTTGTATGTTTAGAATTCCTAAGATCAAGGTAGCCAACTCAACCTGCCAATTGCCAATCTGAGCTACATCAGTTTCTAATCAGTTGATGTGGAGCAAGAGCAACAAATGTATTAATGAGCAAACCAAAACTGGGAAAGTAAATGTTTTACAAAAAAAACACATAATCCAAATTAGAGAACAAGAAGTGATACTATCCTATTACTGCTGCCCTCAACAAATACAGACTATCAGTCCAGTGGACACCAGGAAGCAGAAGTAATAAAACCAAACTAATCCCTGGGAAAAATCAACATTAATGATTTTACCAGAATGACCTGGAACCCAAGAAAAGTAAAGAGCACTGCTACCAAAATAAAACAAGCACAAAAATGTCTTTATTTGATACCGAGCAAGACGAAACAAGGTAAAGTAAGTCTACTCTACAAGTCACTTGTAATCAACAGCAACTCTGCAGCCTCTTCCAAAATCAAGAAAATTTTTGGAATACAATTTTGGTGACTTAAGTCTCTGCAGAAACTGTCTAAAAATATTTGAGCTGATGCTTTCCTTTTCTCTCAACAAATATCCCTGCAGAAACAAAATCATTCCACTGGATTTAGGATGTCCTCAAAATAGAGCAGGAGCTTAAAATACAAGTGAAGTGCCACTGAGGTTAAATATGCTCAGAAAAACCACGAATAAAATAAAGAACCCACCCCATGCTCTCTCCTTCTTCCCCTAAACTCCCTCAGCTGGTTGGTGCATCAGTTCACTCATTCACTGCTACGTGCCAGGCACTGAGTAAGTCCTGACGGACAGCCTTAAGCAGAACTAAGGCCTTGCCTACCGCAGCACTCATTTCAGTGTGGGAGAGACAGACAACACGCAAGCAAATACAGGTCAGTGCTGTGGACACTAAAGCAGGACAGCCGACAGGGAGCGGGGAGGGCCAGTTTATAGTGTGGTCAAAAGAGGGAAAATGCCTCCTCCCCAGCGGCCCTGAAGACAGCAGCGAGTACGCACACTGCTCTAAGATTTACGTAAATTCATTCCAAGTCCACTCCAGAGTCTAACTCAAGGTAACATCACACAAAGTAGCAGCAAATTTCACACTTGCTGGGTCCCCCCATTTTCTGTTAACAAAACTTCCTTTTAACTTTAATCCAGAGAAAAGCTGTCTGAGCAGGCATCCATCACTTCTTTGCCTATGGGTGGCTGTTGGTTAGCTGGCCTTGCTAATGTTTGTAATGCTCAGCAGCACCAATAAAAACCTTCAAGAAGCTTACCATTTACTCAACAATGTGTGCTGGGCGTTCTGTTATTTCCACAACATCCCTGAGGCTCTAGCCCCATCTTACAGATGAGCAGAGACTCGGGGAGGAATGATCACAGGGAATGTAGCACAGAGCTGGGATTTGAACCTGGGCCTGCCTGGCTGGAAACCCCAAGCTTTCCTCACGTCATGCTGTTTAAGCTTCTTAAAGATAGCCTTGCTCTTCTTGGACCTTCTATTTCCAGGTCTCCTACGTTTGAACAAGTCAACCAAACATGACCTCACCTCCCTTTGAATTCTGAAGCCCTGTGTTTACTACTTTCTCCTGGCACTTTTGAGTTATATCTGTTTTATCTCACAAATAGATTGTAAAATGGCCAAAAGGGAGCTCTGCATTGTTCGCCACAGCACCCCCACCTCACAATACCCAGCACAGAGCCTACGCTCACCAATTCTCAATGCTGAGATACTGATACAATTCTTCACTCTTCAACTTCCTGATACAGACAGGTTGGTACATGAACTCAGTTTCATTCAAGATCATAATCACTCCTACTGACTGAGAAACCCAACCTCAATACTGTAGTTTCACTGTCAATATTACAGGCCAGCCGCTCTCAAAGGCTGCTCCCCACACCAGCACCATCAGCATCAACACCTCTTGGGAACTTGTTAGAAGGGCCAGTTTTCAACCAGAAATTCTTAGGGTGGAGCTCAGCAATCTGTGTTTAACCTGCCTTCCAGGTGACATTGACGGACACCCAAGTTGGAGAACCACTGCTGAACTAAAGTAAGGAAATAATTCAAAGAAAAAACTTTACACACAAAGATGTTCATTGTTCAGCCTTGCATTATTTTTATAAACAAAAAGCAGAAACAAGGTAATAACTGGGCAACAGGTAAGTTATGGTACTACTACTCTTTTTTTATTTAATGGATCTTAGAGAGAGGAAGGGAGGGAGAGAGAGGAAGAGAACATCGATGTGAGAGAGACATCAACTGCTTATCTCCCACTTGTGCCACAACCGGGACCGAACCTGCAACCAGGGTATGTGACCTGAGGGGACTGAACCAGCCACTTCTTGGTGTATGGGACGACATTTAACCAACTGAGCCACACCAGCCGGGACAAGTTATGGAACTTCTACATAACAACAACAACAAAAATGCAATCACTTAAAATGCTGAAGCCCTAGCCGGTGTGGTTCAGTTGGTTGAGCATCATCCCATGCACCTCGAGGTCACTGGTTCAGTTCCCAGTCAGGGCATATCCCTGGGTTGTGGGCTCCATCCCCAGTAAGAATCAGCTGATCCATGTTTCTCTCTCTCTAAAATCAGTAAAAACACTTTAAAAAAATAAATAGAAAATACTCTTAAAAACAGGTTTTAAAACATGGAGAAATATTTATGCTATAATAAACAAAGGTACATTTTTTTGAAAAATACTCTTCATGCTGCATGATCTTAACTATGTTTAAAAATAGGCCTACAAAAAAACAGCAAGATAGTAACATCACTGGTTATCTTTAGGTATATTTTCTCTATAAAAAGCACTTTTTAAATGAAGCTTGCTAAAGCACTTTAAAAAACTTTACTATGTTTCAACTGTAATTTATCCTCTTACATTAACTAGCTGGCTCCAACTGGAGCTCTGGGGCCATTCCAACAGCATGGCCACAGCACTGCCCTAGTCCAACTAACGGACCTCCTGCCCTTGCACTGTCCTTCACTAGCAAGTACCCTCTCAGAATCCCCGTCCGTATTTCACTGCGCTTCACTTTCCAAATTTCAACCAGTGTTTGTCTCAGTTTCCTATAGCTCCTCAACTGAATTTATATTTCCCCCACTTGACAAAAGCTTTTAGCCTTTATCCGTATCCAAATCTCTCAAGAAACTTATTATAAACCACTTAACATGCTTAGCTCAGTGTATGGCCACAACCTCTCTGCTCGCTCCTGTCTAGTTATCTTTAGAGACCCTCCCTTCCTCACTGCTGTTGTATCTTTTCCACCCCAACCCTCCTTTCGTGCACACACATTCTGCACTTCACTTCCTCCTGTCCCACCAGACTCTGCCTATTTACTCACTCAATATTTATTGAGAACCTTCTATCTTCCGGGGACTAGGGATATAATGAAGAAAGAAAAATACATTTCCAGCCCTAGCTGGTTTGGCTCAGTGGATAGAGCATTGGCCTGCGGACTGAAGGGTCCCGGGTTCGACTCCAGTCAAGGGCACATGCCTGGGTTGCGGGCTCAGTCCCCAGTAGGAGGCAGCCAATCGAAGATTCTCTCTCATCATTGATGTTTCTATCTCTCTCTTCCTCTCTGAAATCAATAAAAATGTATTAAAAAAGAAAAAGAAAAATACATTTCCAATATTGTGACATTGGAGGAAAGACCACTACACAAAAAATGATTATAAAGTATGTCAAGCACCAAGGGAAAAGGAGTTCTAGGAAGTCAGGGGAGGACACAGCAGGAGCATGACCCCTGCCTGGTGAGCCCAGGGTACTTTCCCAGGGAACAACACTGAAGTTAAGAACAAAAGGATGAGGAGGAAGCCACGGACATAGAAAGAAAGGAGGAGGTTCCACCAGTAAGTAGAGGGCATAACATGTGCTGAGGCCCACAAGAAACACAGAACGGATCCTCAAAGCAGTGACAGCAACCTGAGCTGGAGTGCAGACCACACGGAGGATGTGAAGAGGCGTAAGGCTGGAGAGGCAAGCAGGGTACTGGTCATGGAGGGCCACACAACGAAATTAAGGATTTTGGTCTTTGGAGAAGGGCAGCAGCTGTGAATTAGAAATTTCATTGGAACTGGAGTGTGGAGCGTGGGCTAGAGGGGAACAGACTGAAGTCTGGGAAATCAGCTAGTAAACTGCTGAGCAATCCAGGTGCAGAACATGAAAACACCCCCAGGTAACTGGCTTGGGTACCTAGGAACATAGTGGCACCACATCCACCGAGATTAGAAAAAACACACAACACAAAACAAACAAAAACACACAAGGAGCAGCATCTTTGGACAAGGGGCTTAGATGAGAGGACAGCTGGATACTGAAAGATTCCGGAGTTCCATATTATATCTGTACCTTATGTTTAGTTTGCAATTACATTGGTCCTTCACACAGGACTTTTTTGCATCGACACAGGTCATCATATGTTTGCAATTATGTCACTGATAAGTCATAGGGCGATTTTAGGTGGGGAGAGAGCAGATGTTACTGTAAGACTTTTTTTTTATATATAAGTCTTTATTGATTCAGAGAGGAAGAGAGAGGGAAAGAGAGACAGAAACAGCAATGATGAGAGAGAATCATTGATTGGCTGCCTCCTGTATGTCCTCCACTGGGGATCAAGCCCACAACCCAGGCATGTGCCCCTGACCGGAATCGAACCTGGGACCCTTCAGTCCGCAGGCTGATGCTCTATCCACTGAGCCAAACCAGCTAGGGCAAGACTATCAACACTGACATCAGTAATGAAAAGCAGCAGATACTTTGTTCCTCTATGTTCTCCAAGAATAAAAAGGAAGCTGGACCCCCAGGCCGGAGATAACTGGTTTTCTGGGTGTCGATGTGAAGTGGCCTATAGAAGATTTGATAAGCCTTCCACTCCACCCATCTTTTATGCTTAAACTGTTTCACTTCTGGGATAAGTTTTTATGGCCATTTACTCTGGTACAATGGCATAAAGATACCCATATTTCTTTCATCCTGTTCAGAATCAACATTTTTAAGATAAAACTGACTTTTAAAACAATGAAATGTTGAGTGAGAAGAGTCTGGGAACATTTGTAAACTTTTTCATTTCTCTTTTCTTTTTGCAATAAATTGCATTTCCTGGAATACAACTTGCAAGTGTAATGCAGACCCCTGCAGCACGCTGCTGGCTCTCCACTGCTCTGCTGCATGGGGTACAAAGTGTTCCCCCAAAGGACCCTACCAGTGCCATGCCGCTAGTGGTGTGTCATGAGTGGGAAAGAGAAAAGAGAAAGCCAGGACTGCTGCCAAGCGTCTATTCTCCTTGTGCAGAAGACGCATGACCCTGCCTGCTCTTCAGTACCTCGCGCACGCAGGACGAGTGGGAGAATCCAAATTTACCAAAGTAATTCTGGACCTGTTATATTTGAAGTGCCTGTGAATACAGAGGTGGAAGCATCATGTAGACAAACGGATACATGAGCGAAACTTCAGAGAACAAGTCTACGCTGGAGACAATAACTATCCGAATAGGTACAGTCAAATAGTAAGCGAAACCAAAGCAGTAGATGAGACTTGTCAGAGCCTACACACACACTTTAAAGGGAAAAAAAAGGAGCAGTGTGGGGAGGAAGACACCCATGTCCCTGCCTGGTGTCAGTGAGAACTAAGGGGATCCATGACGCAGCACTTCATTTCACTCCCCTACCTCCAGGAAGCCTGCCCGGCCCCTTTTTCATACTTTCCTCAAACCATCCTTCCCACTAAAAACACTCACCGTCTCTCATAAATAATACCAAGTGGCGAAGAATCCCCAAATCAGCCACTCTGGGCCTGCGAGGACACCTCCGCTTAAGGTTCTGGAAAACCATGGAAAGGGCAGAAGGATTCCTCGTTTCCCCACCATGGCTCTGCCTCGCTCTCCTCTTCATTCTATTCTAGAAATACAGCTCATCGCTGACTACTACAGAGCAGAGTTGCATGAAATCTCCCTTGGAACAGTTAGGGTGGTTGTGTGTTTGGGTTTCAAAAGAATGCAGACTGAAAGCAAAATTAACATCAAGAGAGAAAGCCAGATGTCAGAATACCGAGCAAAATGGGCTGTGAGTGCTGAGAAATGAGCAGTGCCATGTGGAGAAGCCGCCACCAAAACCATCAGGGTACGTTTCTAAACACGTTTCAGGTGCAGCTTTTATCTCTCACCCATGGCCTACATCTTCTTCTTTCCACCCACTACATCCTCTTTTTATTAAAAGCAACACAAAGAGAAACCACTTTTGAAATCAAAGTGAGACTTATCCACCCCAGCTGCAACTTCAACGAGATATGATCATGACGAAGCTCACATGACTCATAACTTTCCTAAATTATGCAACTCCTAACAGTTCAACTGAAATCACTTCGGGGGAACTGTGAGTATCCGAAAGCCTGGATTCAAATCCCAGCTTCAGAACTGCAGTTACAGTAACATTTAAAGGGTAAGTAAGCTAATAAACAATAAACCGTGCTCTTTAATTATGAAATTATTTATTGGTCTTGACCAATTCAATCTAAATAATGGTGGGGTTAAATTAAACAAATTATATCCTGAGCCATTAAAGACACACAGAAATCAATGCTCTTCAAAAGGAAAGACACCCACAAGACATCTATTTATCACTGTGATCCTGGCAGCTCCGTGTGCCGGACTCACTCCTTCTGCTGCTTCATGTAAAACGCCAGGCAGGATCCCTGAGGTTAGCGCCAGCCACCTCTCACTGCCCCATCAGGAGTGTCCTCATTTCCCTCCTGACCTACTGAGCCTTCAAGTTTGGGCTCAAATATCGCCTCCTTCACGGAGCCTCGCCTGGCCTTCCCAGGCTCGCCTCCGTCCGGCTGTGGCACACCGCCCGCCAGGTGCTCTCTCCCAGGCTGTTCTAGAACTGTCTGATTAGGACTCCCTGCTCCACCAGCCAGGAGCGGACTGAAGATGGATGCTGTCTGGTCTCGGCATTTCCGAAGCCACACACAGTACCTGCATCCAGTATGTCCTTCAGACGCCTGGGGAGTGAACGGGGCAGTCCTGCATCTTCCTGGCCCAGCGTTCTGCACTTTGCACATAAAAAGCACACGGCCAGAAACACCACCCTCGGATCCCTGAAGCTGCGGACAGCTGGCCCAGGAAGCAAGGTTTTCCTCCCTCCTGTGTGCACCCGGGGACTCATGCCACTACTTCCCACCTGTGAGCAACAGAATACCCAAGGCCAAGCGGTCCTCAGAGTGGGGAAAGGTGTACTATCTCAAGGTTCCTTGCATTAACCTTCAGTCCCAGGAAAAGGATCCGTGTCCTCACCCTCCCGGTCACCTGCCCACCCCATCTCACATGTCCCTTCCACCCGCACGGACTTACCCCCCTCAGCACCCTAACAAGCGCCCTCGCTTCCATTAACCTGGTCGCCTGTCATCCGCTCGGATCTGACATAACAAGGAAGGACTGTTCAGCCGGACGCTCAACACCCTGCACACCCTCCATGATGACACTTTCTATTAAATGAGAAAGAATTCCCGGATACACCAACGTGAAACTCTCCATCAGCCATGAAGGACCCCGACGCGGTGGGGAAGGCTGCGCACCCCGCACGGTGTGCTCCGTCCGTCCTGGCGGGATCTGGGGACCAGCCAGCCATGAAAACTCACGGAAGCTACAGCTCTGCACACCGGGCAGCGCCCCATCCTTCGCCACCAATGCATCACTCGCTATCACCCGTCCTTCTGGAGGACGAAGGGCTGACCGGCAGCACACGTTTACCCACCAAATGCCACTCTCTTCACGTCCCTCCATCCTTAAAACCCAGCCTCTTGCCGTGGCCGGTGTTGCTCAGTGGATAGAGCGTCGGCTGCAGGGTCCCGGGTTCCATTCGAGTCAAGGGCACGTGCCCGCCCCAGTGTGGGGCGTGCAGGAGGCAGCCGATCCATGGTTCTCTCTCGTCATGGATGTTTCCGTCTCTCTCTCCCTCCCCCTTCCTCTCTGAAATCAATAAAAATATATATTTTTTAAAAACTCAGCCTCTTAGGGCATCGAAATAAGAACCTCTCCTCTCGCCGAAACCGGTTTGGCTCAGTGGATAGAGCGTCGGCCTGCAGACTGAAAGGTCCCAGGTTCGATTCCGGTCAAGGGCATGTACCTGGGTTGCGGGCACATCCCCAGTAGGAGGTGTGCAGGAGGCAGCTGACCGATGTTTCTCTCTCATTGATGTTTCTAACTCTCTATCTCTCTCCCTTCCTCTCGGTAAGAAATCAATAAAATATATTAAAAAAAAAAAAAAAAAAAAGAACCTCTCCTCTCTGGGCTCAGCACTGACCACACGGGCCTCCCCGCTCGTTCCTCGGCCGCGGCCAGGAGGCCCTTCGCAGCCCCCCCCGCCCCCCGAGAAGCGCACCACGCGATCCCGACAGGGGCGTCCCCGCCACGGCTCCCGCCGACACTCCCGCGGGAGGGACGCGGGACGGAGCCGCGCGCGGGACGGCTAACCCCCTCCGGGCGCCGAGCGGCGGGGCCCTGGGCCTCCAGACACGAGCAGCACCCTGTCCCTCACCTCTTTCCCGAACACCCTCCCAGACGCACCCCAGGGAGCACCCCTCCCAGGCCCAGTCACCCCGGGAAGCCGCCGCCGGTGCCCCTTTCCCGTTCCCGGGCAAGCCGGTCTCCATTCTTCCCCCAACGCCGAGCCACACCCCCTCCACACAGAAAACTCTGGGACGCGCCAAGGCCGCCCGGTACCCCGCCCCCAGACACCTGCTCCGGCGCCCGGCTCTTCCCCGAAAGCAGCGCGCCTCCGGCGCCGGCCCAACCAACTCCCGCGTCTTTACCGAGTCGCGGCGGAGAGCCCGAGCCCGGCGGGTCCGGAGGTCGCGGCGCCAGCACGAAAGGCACCAGGCTGGTCAGGAGGAGCAGGCACCGCCTCATGTTCCCGGGCCGCGCTCCCACCTCGCGGGGCAGCCTCGGCCGGACGGGGGTTCGGGACGCGGCTCACATTGGGGGAAGGAAAGGATCCGCCCGGCCCGGCCCCTCACACCAATTGTTCCTCCCGCGCCGCCTACAGGAAGACTAGAGCCGACTCCCGGTCCCGGAAGTGCAGGCAGCGTTCCCAGAGGCCGGCTGAGCCCACTTCCGGCCGCCGCCGCCGCCGCCCCCCGCACCGCCCACTAGCGGAAGCCGCGTGCCGCGCGGCATGCCGGGAGGACCTGGCTCGCCCCGCCCCGCGCCAGTGCCCCGCCCCCTGCCCGCCCCTTCCGGCCCGCCAGGGCGGGGCCGGCGCCTGTCCGGACAAGACCTTGGACGTCCTAGCATGACCCAACCGGACCTCGCCTCTGTCCCCGGGTGGCCTCTGTCCCCGAGTGACCGCTGCGGAGGAGGCGGCCGCTTGGGAGCAGCCCTCGAAGGCACGCCCGGCCTCCTCCCTCGTTTTGGTCCCACTCGGGTTGGGATCCCTGTGTTCCGTTTCACTGAAGGAGCCGTAGGAACCGCCCTGGGGTCCAGGCGGACGGGTAGGGGCGCCTGGCCCTGGGTGCTCGAGGGAACGACCCAAAAACGCAATCCAAGGACGAGGAACCTGCTCCCTGGAGGAGGCGGCCGAACCCTGGGGAGCGTGCGTCCAGGTGCGTCCACGCTGTGCGAGGCCAGCGGCGCCCTTTTAGGCCTCCGTCCCGGTAACGAAAGGCTTTGTGCAGGGAAATTAACGGGAGCGTCACTCCTAAGACACGTTTTCTCTGTGGCCCCGCTCTGGCTCGCGGCTCTGCAAGCATTTCCAGAAACTAGAATCTTCGACCGTCCCCCCCTTCTGCGTGGACACAGAAGCTACCCATCAGCCAGCTTACTGAAATGCAATCTGCGCGGTCGCTTTCGCGCAGACAGCACATTTCCGAGGCAGTTCGTGCTTTGCAATCCTGTGCATATTAACTCTGTAGTTCAGTGTCTATGGTACCGAATAAAACATTCTAATAAGGGGTGCGTAGCGCTATTTTGGTTCAACCAAAGTTTATGCAAGGAGGACATAGCACATTTTCCACTTAAGAGACAGCCAAAGGTTAGGAATAAAGTATCAGTCCTGCCTGGTCAAGTTTCAAACCTAGTTCCTAATAAATTACTCCAACTATGGTTTCCGTTTAGGTTCATTGCGGTATGCCGCAGAGGACCGCAGCTTCTTTTCCAAGTTATCCATAATTCCTGGCTTTGTGCATTTTTTGGCTTAACTGAACCCCATCTGTTCATCTGAGGTACAAAATGTCTTCATTAAACATAAACATGGATGGCATGCCTAATCAAAACAAGCCAAATTTCACAAATTATATACAATATTTTTAAAACTTCATAAAAATGTGTCAGCTGTGTACAATTTTTATACAATACATCCCAAGCATCAGATTCTCCATAACCCTTACTAGATCATAGGTTATATTATTTTTAAAATATATTTTTATTGATTTCAGAGAGGAAGGGAGAGAGAGATAGAAACATCAATGATGAGAGAGAATCATTGATCAGCTGTCTCCTGCACACCCCACACTGGGGATCAAGCCCACAACCTGATCCTGTGCCCTGACCGAGAATCAAACCATGACCTCCTGGTTCATAGGTCGACACTCAACCACTGAGCCACACCAACCCAGCAGATTATATTCTTTTGATGTCTCCAGTTCTTCTCCAGTATCTTCCTCATAGAAGGCACTTAGCTGTCTGTTTAATAAATGACATTTTTTAAAAAGTAAACTGGCCAGACCAGTGTGACTCAGTGCTTGAGCATCGACCTATGAACCAAGAGAGCAGGGTTCAATTCCCAGTCAAAGAAAAAAAAAGTAAATTTCTGGTCCATTTTTTTATTCATAGCCAGGGGTCCTAGATTTTCAGGGACAGTCCGGATTTCAAGTAATCTTTCCCATTCACAAATCATGTCTCAAATTATGGTTTTCAATTTGAGGTTTATCTTTCATTATGAATTATCCATACCGTTAAGACAAAGGAGCACCACATAGGAGTGATAAAGAGCCAGAGGGACATGCTAAGGGGTCCTGTTGGATAGAGGAACTAATAGTCCGAGCCAGTGGTCTTCAATCATTCGCTTATCCCCAGATTTTTAAAGCAATATGTTCCCCCATTCATACATTTAAAAATTTTTCTTCATAAATGTAAATAGTTGCAAAGGATGAGATTTCTGACATAATGTAAATACTGACATTTAAAATAAAAACCGTTAGATCATTATTTCAAATTTACCCAATGGAATATAAATACCTGAGATATTTGATAGCCATTGTGGCAGCCAGCCTCCCGATGGCCCCCGATGGTCCCTGCTTCCTGATACTCGCATCCTTGTAAAGGCATCACCTTCCACATGGACCATGGTCGGTCTGTGTGACCAATAGCAGACAGCAGAAGTGATGGTATTTCACTCCCAAGATTAGGTCATAAGAAACTGCCTTCCATCTTTGCTTGCTCTTTCTTCAATCACTTACAGGAGAAAGCCAGCTTTCATGTCATGAGAACATTCAGGAAGCCTATGAAGAACCCCATGGGAATAGGTCACCAGCCAACAGCTGGTTGACTGAGTGGTGCCCCAGACTGTGTGAGGGAGCTGGGAGGTGAGTTCTCCATTCCCAGGCAAGCTTTGAGGTAACTGCAGTCCCTGTATTCAACAGCTTCACTACAACCTCATGAGACCCTGAGCCCCGTTAAATCATTCCCAGGTTTAAAAACGACGTGAGCCCTAGCTGGTTCAGCTCAGTGGATAGAGCGTTGGCCTGCAGACTGAAGGGTCCTGGGTTCTATTCCAGTCAAGGGCATGTGTCCGGGTTGTGGACTCGATCCCCACTAGGGGGCATGCAGGAGGCAGACAATCAATGATTCTCTCTCATCATTGATGTTTCTATCTCTCCCTCTCCCTCTCCCTTCCTCTCTGAAATATATTTAAAAAATAAAATAAAAACAACATGAGCCCTGGCCAGGTAGCTCAACTGGTTGAGCATTTTCTCTATACGCCAAGGTCAGGGCACGTACAGAATCAACCAATGAATGCAAAATAAGAAAAACAACAAATTGATGTTTCTCTCTTCTCCTCTCTCTCTCTCTCTCTCTCTCTCTCTCTCTCTCTCTCTCTCTCTCCCCCCCCCCTTCCTCTCTCTTTCACCAGGTGGGGGAAGTTTTCTGTCATTATTTCTTCAAATAGGTTTTCAATATCTTGCTCTCTCTCATCTTCTGGCACCCCTATAATTCTGATGTTGGTACGCTTGAAGCTGTCCCAGAGGCTCCTTACACTATCTTCGTATTTTCGGATTCTTTTTTCATTTTGCTTTTCCGGTTGGGTGTTTTTTGCTTCTTCGCATTTCAAATCTTTGACTTGATTCTTGCGCTCCTCTGGTCTGCTATTGGGAGTCTGTATAGTATTCGTTATTTCAGTCTGTGTATGCTTAATTTCTAGTTGGTTCTTTATCATAACATCGAGGGTCTCATTAGATTTCTCGAGGATCTCATTAAGTTTATCGGCGGCTTCTAGACAGTTCCTGAGAGACCTTAAAAGTGTGGTTCTGCCGAAACCGGTTTGGCTCAGTGAATAGAGCGTTGGCCTGCGGACTGAAGGGTCCCAGGTTCGATTCCGGTCAAGGGCATGTACCTGGGTTGCGGGCACATCCCCAGTGGGAGATGTGCAGGAGGCGGCTGATCGATGTTTCTCTCCCATCGATGTTTCTAACTCTCTCTCTCTCCCTTCCTCTCTGTAAAAAATCAATAAAATAAAAAAAAAATTAAAAAAAAGTGTGGTTCTGAACTCTATATCTTCCATTGACAATTTTGTCCTGTTTCTTTGTCTCCGCATTTTGTTATGCTTTCTTGGTGCACCCCCTAGTGGTCTTTGTGCACAGTCTTGTAGTTAAGCCTTGATTGTTGTAGCTAATACTAGGGGGGATTTGACCTCCAGGCCAAGTGGCTGTGAGAATCAGCTGTGTCTGCAGTGAGAGAACGTCTGTCCTCTAGGGAGGTGCTAATCTGGCGTTTGCCTCAGGCTATCTGGCAAATGCCTCTGTGCAGAGCTTGGGCGGGGCGGGTGGATCTCACGGGATCAACAGGGTGGGCCAGAGAGAGCAGTTATGGCTGCTCTCAGTCCTGTCCCCAGGGGCTCTGCCTCTCTGAGTCCCAGCAACCGCTGCAAACCTCGGAGAGAAAGCTGCACTCGCTCCGAAGCCAGACAGTCCCGCTTCTCCCATTTGAGTCAGGGTCCCTAAAGACTCGCCCGGATCTGGAGCTCAGAGTCTGCGACTCCCTCCCGATTGAAAACGCCAACCGTGCCCTCCGCCGCCAGCCCGCTCCTCCGCCAGCCCGCTCTGCATGCATTCCGCACCTCAGTATTTGACTTCAGCACTGCGCCTCCTCTGAGTGTCAGTATGCGTTGCTCTTTCCTCCTAGTTGTAGGACTTCCACTCAGCCAGCGTTCCTGTGGTTCTGGGTGATGTCCGTTCTGTCTTTTAGTTTCAGTTTTGAAGTGGTTGTTCGAGGCAGCAAACTCCGGCGTTAACCTATGCCGCCATCTTGGTTCTCTCTCCTCTCTCTATAAAATCAATAAATACAACTTAAAGAAAAACACACATGCCATGAACAAGTTGACTGGATGCCAGGTTCCACTCCTAAACACCTGAAGTAGTTCTTTTTTTGTAGCAATTAAGTCATCATGACCATTGTCTTTAAAAAAAACATACATAATTGATTTAAAAAAGGGAGAGGGAGAGATAGAAACAGTAACGATGAAAGAGAATCATTGACTGGCTGCCTCCTGCATGCCCCACACTGGGGATCAAGCCTGCAACCCAGGCATGTGCCCTGACCAAAAAAATCAAACCATGACCTCCTGATTCATAGGTTGAAGCTCAACCACTGAGCCATACTGGCCAGGCTGAAGTGGTTCGTTTAATTTAAAATTTAGTAAAGATAAGTAAAAGATTACTTGAGATTTATTGATCCCATGCTGTAGAATGAATTATTCACAATTTGGATACTTACTGCAAGTGAACCTAAGAGTAAAAAATTTTAAAGAATAAAATATAATTTT